CGCCCCTAAGCATACCGAACCAACTTCTCTCTTTGAGTAAGGACAAGAAATTCATAATATTATCATGTATCGTCTGATGTCAAATGTGTAGTACACAAAAGACGGAATGCAAAAAAATGGTTTTGTAATTCTCATTAAAACAAGATACAGATTTCATTGACTGCAACAACATCCATCTGAAAATCAACTGGATTGAACTCACTTGATATTGTTGCTCGCTATCTATGGTTCCCACAACAGCGACTATTTGATACTGCCTTGCTTTCATTGCAGACTCGCTCTTCCTGAGAAGTCTCAGAGCTGCGTTCGTGCTAGTCGTGTCTCCAAACTGAGCCATTTGCTGAGGAGAATGACTCGGGTCGAGAACCAACAGGATCAAACTACCATCTCTGTGGACTTCTATACCCATTATGGTTCGACTATGACCTGCAACGGATGATTGAATACATTCTTTTGAAATGAAATGAAATTGCTAGTTCACAGTGCATGTGTTCTGAAACTCGTGTTGTAATATACCGTCCGGTTTGACCAACATAGCATTTGTGACAGCTTCCACAGTTCAATTTGTACACTATATTGGATTGTATTTCTTGTGGTGTTTTTGTTTTGGAAAAAAATGCTTTTCGTGCAAGTATTGGTCAGTATCATATCAATATAGCACACTTTTTCTATTACCTTGATGTTGCAAATATAATGGCGGGGTAAATTCGCCTCCCACCGAATTTTCGAAATATTTCAACACCCAGTTGAACAATTCAGGGTGAGTTCCAGAAGGTCCGGTCGGTTTGTGAAAATCAATGAGCTGACACTTCACTCGAAGATACGAGAAGAGAGTCACCACTTCTGTGGCTCCTATCCATTTTCTCGTATTGACTAGCCTGCATCCTAACTGTTCAGATCCCTGGAAATAAATTGAATGATGTTAATAGTGTCTTCATTTATGCAGATGATTCAACAATTATATTAACTGCTAAGGATACATTTGACAAGATGAATGATATACAAATAGTAGTGAAGAACTTCACTCAATGGTGTGAGACAAATCATCTCATTAATAATATGGAAAACATGGTCCTTATCCAATTCAGTAGTCCTCAAAAACACGCATCCTTGGTATGAAGCTGGATTACAAATTAACTTTCAACAACCAAATTGATAACATATGTAAAAAACTGAATAAACTGTATTATGCTTTCACTAGTCTCAAATTGAACTTTCACATAAACCACTTGATTAACATGTATTACGCTCTTGTCTACACAGCAATCAGCTGTAATATCATCACATGAGTAGGTCAACTGAAATATCACGAGTGTTCATTTTACAAAAACGACTTTGAAAAATCTGGAGTTTATAAGCTTAAGTGTCCGGAGTGTAATAGTGTTTATGTGGGACAATCCGGACGAAATTTCTAAAAACGGTNTGGAGCTCTTTTATTTCTGAAGTAAACCAAGGCTTCTTACGGTTTTTAAGGAATTTACGTGTGTTTACCTATATAAGTTATTAATCTATACATTTAATAATAAAGATAAATTCACAAAAAATAGCGATCTTCACGAGCACGATACTAGATATAAAAACAACATACACCTAAATCATTTCAACAAAACATGGTATACAAAATCTTCCCTGTATGCTGGAGGCTACTTTTATAACCTGCTTCCTGAATGCATAAAATTAGTAACAAATTAAAAAAATTTCAAATCCGACCTAAAAAGAATTTTTTACTTCATCACTCCTTTTATTCACTAACTGAATACATCGGGTTGAATATTAGAACTACATCCAATGATCTATAGACACATTTTGAACACTTTTAATATGTTTTATATGTACATTTTATTTTATATTTTCAACAAGTTTTGTAAATAGTTGGCATCCAACTCTAGACTTATATTTGTATATTGTATGCTCCATCAATTACTTAATGTTGTTATGTGTAAATATCTGACTATTCAAACTAATATATTTATCTTATCGTTATGACTACCATTGGACTTATCTCATGTCATGTAAATGATTTATAGAGATATTGCTTTTTAGTTAGGCATTGATTACTTTTATATTCAACACTTTGCCTTGCATAGAACAAGAATGAAATTATTAGGTCCAGTGACGTCTCAGTGGACACCACAGCAACTGATTTTGTTGTAGTTTTTAATTTTTTTTAAGATTAAGCAACTAAAAATACAACTTTTTCGTCATTTGTGTTTTCTTCATATCAAGCTTCATTTTCGAGAATAAAAAAAAAAACACTTCTAAAAATCATCCACGCACAACGTAAATTAAAACCCGAAAGACCTTTGAGAAAATGAGCAAAATGTCCACCTTCTGATAAAATACACAATTGCAATCGATTTAACATTGATTATCTGACACCAAAAATTCCTGGAGTATTCCGTATTCAAGTCATTCACATCTAGTATAGGAGTTTTATATACGAGAGCCTAGAGGATTCATATCAGGACTGTGAGCTGGTTAATTTTGAGGTCCTACACGTCCAATCCAGCAATTAAGGTAGGTGATGCTGACAAAAAAGAACACTAAATGAGCTGTCGTGCATGAACCACATGTTGTCTCTTACAAGTACCGGCACTTTTCACAAAATGGGTAAATGATCACGCAAAAAGTCCGTATAGAATTCACCTGTTGATCTTGCTGGTAGAAAAAATGGGCTAATTAGGTAGTCACCAATCATTCTTACCCAAATGTTCAGCAGAAATTGTTGCTGAAAATGACTTATAAGGTGGGGGATTTTCGTCACCCAAAAATGGTCATTGTGAAAGTTCATGCATCTCGAGAAAAAGTCCATAAATAAAATATTTGGTAAAAAAATCATTATTGTGTGCCATCGTATGAATCAACCACCTGCAAAACATTAATTTAGGGTGGGAATCCCGAGGCAGTGGAGCTTGGACCTGCTGTATGTGATATTCATGTATACAATAAACTAATGTATCATCTGCAAAAAGATTTATACAGTGTGATCCAGATATGTGATAAATATAATTTAGGTAAATAATAAAAAGCAATGGACCTAACACACTACCCTGGGGTATGCCACTCTCAATTATAAGTTCATCTGACAATTCTTTTCCAAATTTAGTTTTTTGCAGCTTTGATTTGGTTTTTGATGACAAGTCTAAGGCTCTTGAATTCATAATTGTACTGCATATTACCAGTTTTCTTGTACTTCTCGCATAGTTTATCTTTCTTTTTGAAATTGAAATAAAAATATAAATAGTGCATGGGTACAAACCATGTTAAAATGGAGGATATAAAAGATATGTATATATGAGAGTCAAAGTCAAATGCATATGTGGCAAGTGTAAAAATTTCACGTGCAAAAGCATTGGTCTTGTTATCATGCATCCACATCTCGTTCTCACACTAGCTTTCAAACCTACTAACCTGAATATCGAATCCTTGCGCCCACGCCTGTTCGATAACCCCCTGGATCCTGGATATACTAGGAACCGAACTCCGCGGCGGTTTTCGACCTTGCCACAGCTTATAAATCCTCTCGTTGTAACCGGTATGAGTCAGCAAACTAGAAATGAGCATTTGAGTATTCTTGTACCCGCAACCCCAACCTCTGTCGCCATAAGAAGACGCGTAGTGATCGACGCAAGTACACAGCAGAGTTCTAACCACGTTAGTGGCATTGTTGCTCATCGCTCTCACTCTGGGAACCTAGAACGGAAACACGGGGAGCTGGAAACTTCAGCGTAACACTAAAAACAGTCAACTCACAATACTTCTCGTGATTGAACTTCCGTCGTCGACTCCGTAACTTTCAGCGGCCCTCAAATCCAATGTCCGTTCGTAGTAGTCGGCCACACTCATTTCTCCGGCGTAAACAGCCCTTTGCATGTTGGTTACGGACTGCTCTTTGAAGTTGCCTTGGTTATCCATGCCGTACTGCGCCCTCAGCAGTTCGAATTCTCTCTGTTCCCTTTCGCGAATCGCAGCCTTTTCGGCAGGCTGGGGCGAACCAGCAGGAAAATGAGATTCAACGTGTTGAGCAGCTCGTTCACTCTGAAAATAGTTTAGGCATTTTTTTATAAGATATAATTAGAGCTTGATTTCATGAAAATCAACAGAAGACTCCATGTAGTGAAAGTTTATAAATGAAATGACGAAGCAGTTCCAAAATTTGATAACACTAACCAGTTTATTTTCAACTAGATGTTGTAGAAAAATTGGGGTGAATTTTTAGATGGGGCAGCTTTGATTTTGAAAAAAAAATTAGGTGTGCTTGTGTATTTCGATGTGAGGGGAACAGGAAAAAGTCGCAGGGGGCCAAATCTGGTAAACACGGTGGCTGAGGCATAATTACGGTGTTGTTTTTGGCCATAAAATTGCGAACAAGCACCGCTCTTAGAGCGCCTTAACGACTTTCCTGTAGTGCTTGTGCTTCATTCTTGAAAAAAAAGGATACATTATCGTGATGCAAAAGCCATGAAATGATTTTCCACAATACCGGACGTATTAGTGATGTCATAACCATATACTCATCAATCAAACATTTATTGAATCAGTTTTCCTTCACAATCACATCAGGCAAGAAAAAACATATCATCATAAAATACTGGAGGATTCAACAGGTCAAACATAAGAAAGATAAAAAAAGTCAATATAAAACATACATAAAAAAAGTTAATAAGCTACAATCAAATTAAGATTCAAGGAGAAACTCATCCACAGAGTAGTATGCTTTTTGCAATAGAAATATCTTGAGTCGCCTTTTGAAGACATTGATATTTGAGGATTTAATGTCCTCACTAAGCTTATTATATCGAGTGGTCCAACGAAAAGTATGCACCTTGCTTTCCTCCTTTTTTTGTAACTCAACGCAAAAATGTTCGGACAGGTCAATTTTGCTTTTGAGGGGGACACATTTTAGATGTATTTTTCTACCTGTGCCTTCAACCCCCTAGCGAGGGTGAGTAACAACCCTAAAATTTTAAATGGAAAGTGGGGTCGAGTGATATATCATTTGAAAGGGCACAAAATTCTCTTTCCAATGATATTTAATTTGTTGTATTTACTTGAATAAGTAAAGTTATAAAAAAAGCAAGAACATTTACTCGATATTTTTGGTGTTGATGAAAATGCGGAAAAAATGGCATTTTTATCACTACTACATTTCTCAATTTCTCTCGTGCGTTTTTTGGTTCAAATAACAACAGCAGATAAGTGTACAAAAAGAATTTAGGCAAACGTTCATTGATTCAGTTCGGTTGCTTTTGAAATTATTTCAACTTTACTGTAAAAATGGTTTATTCCATTCCTGAACGAGTTGAAATTGTTAAACTTTATTATCAACACAATAGTTGTGCTAGACTTACTGCTCGCCTCTTTAATAACAGTCATCCCGGGAAAAATGTGAATGATTCGTACGTTGCCAAGTTAGTCGGAAAGTTTGTCGATACCGGATCTGTCTGTAATGTGAAACACCAGCCACGGAAACCGATCAGAAATGAAGCAGTGGAAGTCGCTGTTTTAGAACATGTTGAATTGAATCATACTCAAAGTACCCGTCAGCTTGCTGCAGCCTCAGGTGTCTCCCGTTCGTCCATAATACGGATATTAAAAGCCTATAAATTTTATCCGTACAAAATTAAATTAGTACAGGAACTTAATGAAGATGATCTTTTCGGTAAAAAAAAACGGTTGGTAACTGTCACCGACAATTATTCGAAATTCGTATGATTTGAGTGTCCAATTTGATGTCAAAAATTTATGAAAATCTCAATCACGAATTTCAAATTTACACAAAGTGAGAGAGTCTTTCTCTCGCGTAACCAATAATTGTACAGGATTTTTTATTGTTTTATACTAGGTTTTACATTAGATGCATAGCTTTGAACCAGTAGCAGCGCAAGAACTGAATTTAATGTAGCGCAAGGTATATTTTGTTAGGAAACAATTACCAAAACTTTTACTTATGTACTTTTTTTGGAACATAAAACAACAAAATCAAATTAGAAGTAATAAAAAAACATTATGTCTAGGTTACCGTATTAAAACCCCAATCAAAGTTTCAACACTGCAGCTATTTACTCACTTTACTTATTTTTTTTTGCTGAACCACATTCCCATTTTCTCCCTTTATCTCTCTTATTGCCTAAGCCTGACATGATAGATAAATTACGAAGAATGCACCAATATTGTATCGGTAACTTGTAAAAAAATAATACCTAATAACATTTGTGTGTACTTATTTCTTTCTCCAAGTATAAGTTTATGAGAAGTGGAGTAATTCGTTTGAATGAAGATTATATCATTATAATACAAGATAATATTACTTTATGTATTACCTACTTTAGTATTTCACTAACGTAATATATGTTCAATACAAAATATTACGCGTAATAAAGAAAACGGAGGATTTTAGCGTAACAAATTGAAATTATGAAACAAATAATAGACACAATTTTCAATCAGGTAATGTTTTGTAAAGAAAACTATAAAAAATATGAGTGTAAGTATAATAAATACTTCTTACCTTATTCTTGACGAATAAAATAAACACAGGTGTTATTTTTCTTCAGAACAAAATCTGAATTTTTACTTATTTAACACCTGTTATGTAACACTTTTATTATCACACCAAATACTTTTGAAAAATTATAACATAAGAACTTGAAGCATTACTGTGTCTGCCTGCGATACTTTGATTGGTTTTCTATTAAGGGGAAGTCCAGAGATCTCTGACCGGGGATTCCCCAGCTCAACGTTAAGTAATGTTGCCAGACTAAATAAAAACGAGTGCTCAGAAACGACAAAGATGAGGATTTTCTAATCGATCAATTTTATGATATTATATTGTTTATCAGAAAAAAATATACATTCACGAATTTTTCATTCAAATGCTTTCGTGCGCCGAAGAGTGGAACATTTTTAGGTTGAGAATTTTCTAATGTATTAATTATAAAAAAAATCATGACGTGTACTTTTGAATTTTCCACAATTTTTAAAAATTACTTTCGGCTAGTGAACTATCAATAGTTCAATATCCAGCGTGGTACTAGACGAGGAAGTATTTGTTTCCCAGCAGGCATTTACTAGAACCTAGTGTGTAGGTAGTTGGGAGAGATGAATGTTTAGAAATTTGATTTCAAAGTATTCATTTTCTTAAACTACCAAACTCATTCTGCAATGCATACACAAATTCATTTCTACCAAGGAAGCTACGGTGTTAGCGAAACGAGTCTAGAAATAAAAATGTTTGTGAAAATTGATTGATTATCATCATGAATATTGTTGAATATCACTAGAGTTTTTTCCCAACACCAAACCTTTATTTTTAACACTTCGACAAGTGTGATTAAAACACGTGTTTATTTTGCGGCATATCAGCCAATGTTGATTTATTCTCTAAATCAATTTTTCACTCAATATAGCTTCAAAACAATTAATAACCTCAGCAAAGAAGACAAAACACTTGATATGAATTTGAACAGTTGTTAGTAATCAGTGTTGCCAAATATGACGTTAACCTCAAAAGCGGAAAATGAAGAGATTCATCACCAAAAAGCAGCTCTACAAATTAATAAAGTTTTTTATAGGGGAAATGTTGGTTATTAAACTGAAAAATGTCGAAGAATGTGAAATGAAATGTGAAGGTTATCTCCAAAAAGATAAATGTCTCCGAACTTGATTCAAATCCAATGTAAATCGCTACTTTTGCACAGGAACCGCTTTGAGAGCGTCTTAAGGATTTTCCTGTAGTGCTTATGTTTTGTCCTGAAATAAACTTATGTTTTTCTGGTGTGTACTTTGCAAAAAAAAACTGAAATGTTGCCATTTTAGAAAACTTTGGGACTAGAGAGCACCGATTTTTTTTCCGGATTCGTAATGTACCTTTCAAAATATGCAAGTGCATTCAATTTTTTCTTCACAATCGGAGGGTGCAGCCTATCCAAAATTTTACCAAAACTAGGTGTCGGAATAGAAGAATCTCATCAAATACAGATGGTTTCATCAATATTTCCTTCCTATTTATTCCTCTTGCATACAAATTGGTGAAAAACAGCCCCAACACATTGCCTTGAGGTACTCCATAATTTGGGGAAAGTATACTCTACATTTGTTATCTGCTTTCTCTCTAAGGTGATCTTCAATACGTACTCTAGTTTCTATTTTGGCTTGTCACTCATATTTGAATGTTTTCTAATAAAGCATACTGCTTGTCTAATAAACCGGACTTTGAATTCTGTATGCATACCTTATCATTTCAATAGTGAATGTCAATAATACCGTCACAATTAATGCATGCATTCGTTCAGAAAATAATGAAGTGAATTGAATTAGGAGAACAATAGAATATACTTGCATTAACGTCATATTCTAGAACAATTCCACACACAGGACAAGTGTGACTCGCTGGGCTGGCTGGAGACAGTATATCGCGATGTTCGATATTCACATGCAATTCCAAATCTGGTGCAGATTTGAAACTCCCAACGCATAAGGGGCAAACATAAACTTCGCTCGTCATGTTTCCAACTGACGGAGACGTCAAATCAAAATGGCTCCTAAAACGGAAGAAGTTTATTAAAAAAGTAAATTGATAAGTCACAGTTTTCAGATAGAAAAAATGATCTTCAAAGACCTCATTTTGAACAAAATTTTGAAAAATTAAAAAATGAATGCCCGGGGATTAAGGTAGCTTGGCAATTAGTTTTGTATTAATGTGATTAGGTAAAACAGAAGAGCTTACATGAAGTCTAAAAATACACTGAAACTATTGAAGTAAAGGTAACATTTAAATGTATCCATGACAATAATTATAAAATGTACACAATATATTTTATTCAAAACACGTTTTGCTATGCGGTAGTTTCATCAGTTACTGGTACTATCAGTTACCAGTGATACACGTACCAATAACCAGTAATACTTGTACCAGTAACTGACGAACCAGGTTACCAGTAACATATGAACCAGCATATTGGCAACAGAATACCAGTAACTAAAGAACCAGAATACCAGTAACAAACTGGCATATGATGTTTACTGGTTTATCGGTAAATGAACCAGTTACTGGTAACCAAGTTCCTCAGTTACTGGTACCCTGGTTCGTCAGTAACTAACGAACCATGGTGTCAGCCTGGTTCATCAGTTGCTGGTACTCTGGTTCATTAGTTACTGGTAGCCTCGTTCATCAGTAACTAACGAACCATGGTGCCAGCCTGGTTCATCAGTTGCTGGTACCCAGGTTCATTAGTTACTGGTAGCCTGGTTCGTCAGTTACTGCTAACCTGGTTCATCAGTTACTGGTACCCTGTTTCGTCATTAACTAACGAGCCATGGTGCCAGCCTGGTTCATCAGTTGCTGGTACCCTGGTTCATTAGTTACTGGTAGCCTCGTTCATCCGTAACTAACGAACTATGGTGTAATCCTGGTTCATCAGTTGCTGGTACCCAGGTTCATTAGTTACTGGTAGCCTGGTTCACCAGTTACTGGTAGCCTCATTCATCAGTAACTAACGAACCATGGTGCCAGCCTGGTTCATCAGTTGCTGGTACCCTGGTTCATTAGTTACTGGTAGCCTGGTTCGTCAGTTACTGCTAGCCTGGTTCATCAGATACTGGTACCCTGTTTCGTCATTAACTAATGAGCCATGGTGCCAGCCTGGTTCATCAGTTGCTGGTAACCTGGTTCATTAGTTACTGGTAGCCTCGTTCATCAGTAACTAACGAACCATGGTGCCAGCCTGGTTCATCAGTTGTTGGTACCCAGGTTCATTAGTTACTGGTAGCCTGGTTCATCAGTTACTGGTACGCTGGTTCATCAGTAACTAACGAACCATGGTGTCAGTCTGGTTCATCAGTTGCTGGTACCCTGGTTCATCAGTTACTGGTAGCCTGGTTCGTTAGTTACTGGTACCCTGGTTCGTCAGTAACTAACGAACCATGGTGCCAGCCTGGTTCATCAGTTGCTGGTACCCTGATTCATTAGTTACTGGTAGCCTGGTTTGTCAGTTACTGGTAACCTGGTTCGTCAGTTACCAATACCAGTATCTAATGAACCAGGGTACCAGTAACTTATGAAGCTACTGTGTAGCGAAACACGCTCAAAATGAAATTTATTCTATGATAACTATCATGGATAGTGGTATTAATTCTCCTCAAATAAAGGGTAAGAGTATTCAAAATTTGAAACATTGAAATATCAATTTATGACAGCAAAAAATAATACAACAGATTGCAGAAGGTGAAAATTCCCAGAAAAGTGGTTGATAAAAAAACTCTGATTTCATCTACAAATAAATGACTTTAATTCATTGCCATGAGATTTTAATGTGGAAATTTATGATCAATTTTTTTTACGAAATCACCTCTTTTGTAATAGTATAAGTCAACGATCAATAGGAGAGTGCATTCCATAGTTTGTATGATGAAAGGAAACCCACATGCAAGTGAATCCTCTTGAGAAGTAATGGGCATGTAATAAGACCGTTAATTGATTTGTATATAAAAATATGTCAGCATTATCTCTTCTTCTGCTCAACAGGTATCGCTTAAGACTGTTCAAGATAATTATTAATTATTTATAATTCATAATTATTTATTGAAAAATGGATTCAGTGAGAAACTTTTCGCACCTGTTAACATGTTCCTCCAGCTCATTGGGACTGAGACTAGTATAATTGCACATGGGGCACTGAAGCCTAGAAGCTGAACTTCTCAATTTCAAATCTAAATTGGAACGCAGAGGCGAACCTTGTCCGTGGCTGGATTTACTTGGACTTAGCTCCCCTCCTCCATTTATCTGAAACAAATCAGCGATGTAGTTCGATCAATTCAATGTTTCACTTAGTTTTTACCTTTGGATTCAAGTTAATATTTATATTACTTTTGACTTCTTCTGGACTATTTCTGTTATTGCTAGAATATGACGGAAAGTTCCAATGGTTGTTTTCACCATTTATCCCGTTGGATTCGCTAAAAAATGATATGGAATAATTTTCAAAGGGGAAATGTCAAAAAATAGAGCGAAATAATATCATTTTAGTTTTTGATAATTATCCAACTGCCTGCAAAATTTCCAAAAATAATTCCTGTAATCAGTACAGTAATAAAAGAAATATGTTTCAAAAAATCCTCTTACAGATCCAATTTTATTTTTCAAAATCTATTTTCCTTTATAAAATATTTCAATCCCTTTTCAACCTCCCGCCCCATTGAATTGTTTAAAAAATACAAGAGATCAAGTTACTCCAGGTTAGGGAGATATTTTAAAACTCTTTCAACAGTCTATATTTTTCTCCTCACCAAAATACCATTAGAAAGACATGAAATTTATAGGAATTTTTGTACAAATTGTTAATAATGGTGTGAACAGTTTTGTATTGATCCAATAAATTACTGGTAAAGTAAACTGATTTACTTATTTAAAATTCGTTTTTTATGGTGAGTGTAAATATTTCTAACCAAGACATAAAGAACTCAATTTTTTTCCAAGCACAGCAGAACCTAAGTATTTTCCACTATTAACAATTTTACATCAAGTACAATACTAAAAAAGTATCACTTTTTTTTTAAATAGATTTTGGGATATACCGACACATCCTGAATGATAAAATATATCCCAGTTCTGTATTCAACAAAAATAAGCAAATGAATTGGTTTTTCCGGTCTTTTACAAAGCACAGCTGAACAAACTTAGTTTTAGGATAACTCACCTAGGACTAGGTTCATCAATAAAACTGATATTTTGTTCAGATTCGGGTGTCAGGAAGTCCAAGTGGGCTTGATTTACATGGAGAATTAGTTCAGCAGGGGACACAGCAGATAGCTCGCAGAAGGGGCATACGGCATTGCCATCAACGTGAGCCGTATGAGTATGTATCCTAAATTCGTCCTCTGCGAGCCCTTCCAAGCCGCATATTTCACAGCAGTAACTAAAATCTGGAACATTACTTGCCATTTTCTGGAAAATTGAATAGGTTAGAATTTATGCACTGATATGATTAGCAGCAGTTTCCGAAGTTTTATGTTTTTTAAGTCATACTTCTTGGATGTTATATTCCTTACGTTCTTTAATCCTCAGTTCGATTTATTAAATCCTCATAATCCAATCCATAACCTTTTGACATATTTGAACAAACGACCTACTTAAAAATTTCGAGCAACCCGCATTACACTTCCGCATCTATCATTTTTCCACTGCGGCATTTAAAACACCTTTAAATTTGACTGAATAGTGTAAATCTAAGTGTACACCAGTTAGTTGGTGTACTCTTTGGTGTAAATAGCTAATGAAAATTAAAAAAAGAAAGAAATATGACATATATTGGAGGTGGTGGCGTTTTATTGGTATTGTTTCCAACTGATTAACTAATGTAACTGTACGCAAATTTTATGTTTCATTGTGTTATATAGGGATCTGAGAATAATTTTTTTGTTTTTTATTTTCGAATAATATATATATTAACTGTGGATGTTCGAAAACTAGTACAATTATTTTTGCACTCAGTGCATGTTTACTAGTACACACACTAGGCCTGAATGATCTCATGTGCAACGTTTTAAAGATCTACAGAGGTTTCTGACTTCACCCACATGACCTTTCACTGTAGAACGTCTAAACTATGACAAACTTCACTTTATCAGTACTGAGTATTTATGCAATTTGGGTAATAATTTCATATGATTGTCAAAAACTCGGTACTCAAATATTTCTATGAAGTGTTTCAATTTTCCGGAATATACTTTGTCTAGATTAGAAATCACACGTTAAAAGGCAACACCTCGTTAATCCTTAGGTCGCACAAGTTTCGACTTCTGAGGGTTGATGTTCGTAGGGGTGCGACAGCTGGTTAATGAAAAAAACAAATTTTTCTTTATTAATGTATTAATAAATAAAGAACATATATATACTGGTTTTACCAATGGAAAACGCTATTTTTGTAACTCAGAGACGGTGTACAAGGTTATTTTTCCTTACATTTCTACCACAGAACTAAAACCTATAAATAGTTCTGTGATTCTACTATCCATACTACCGTCACAGACAAGGTATTCTGTGCTAGTCAGTATAACCGCTGTTACGGAAATTTAAAATTCATAAAAAATTAATGTACTAAATTGATGTATTTTTACAGGAAGGTGATTTAAATTGTTATCAATATGAACATAAAAATAAACCTCCTTTTAATGCGCTACCTATGAGTTTTTCCAAACACTTTTTTTCAAGAAGATAATGGAATTCTTGTACACAATTCTCCTATTCAAGCTGGTAACCAGGCCGGAGTTTTCGTATTTACTCACCTGAATCTTCAGTGTTATGTAAGAAGATACCAAATTTGTTGAACTCGGATTATTACAAACAAAAATACTTTTTCTGGCCATACTTTTATTAAACCTGCCAATATCACAGTTATAACTCTTGTAAATAAAATTGATTTTATCGTGATTTTCTGACAATAAAAATTAAGACATAACAACAATAACACATTTTTGTACATCATACAATTATTGAAAAAATTGAATGTTTTCCATAAAAAAAAGGTACAACCAAAAAACAAGAAGACACCGACATCATTATTCCTTCATCGATATTTCATGTATATAGTTAATAAAATATATTTCACAATGATCAATTTCCCAGGGTAAAATCGGACAATTACACAGGACAAAAAGACTTGAATGTTTTGTATAAATGCGTTCTTTCAGAGTGAACCTGAGAAATAACCACCATGAAGTCGTTTTTGATCTAGGTTTGTGACTATTTACTGGATTGTCCTACTATTCAAAGTGCTCCTCTTCCGCTCTGGCCCAGCACGTTTTTGTAGTAGAAGGAATTCATTTGTTCTAGGAAAATGAAGGTGAGGACAGTGTGAGGCCCAAGACGGAAATAGTACGGAAAGAATCCTTTCCATAAGGCAAATGGTCCTTCATTCTTGACTACTTTTACCAATACATCCATTGGACCACTGTACTCGGGCTTACCGTTTATGGTTTTCATATTCTGTATCCTGGAATGAAAAAAGTTATTGATTGGCAGGGTCAAATACATTATATTGCTGGTTTAGTGACGTAATAATATGGACTGGCCATTGAAGAGAGACCAAAAACTAAAAAAGTCCTGGCATTTACATCACTCATAAACATTACATCATTCACCTTATTTTTTCAATAGACCTCGTATATGCGAAAGTGACTTCACGCCCAGTGATTACCTTGACTACAGGAAATAATTGCTACCAATGATGGTGCTACTCAAACAGCCAACAGCTGATTGAAATAACTGAATGTCAAATATAGGTTATGTTTATTGTTTTGGAGTCTTTTGTGTTCTGAGTCATTTATTTATGAATTTGTGATAGTAATGTTTTAGTGCTTTTATTATAGGCACGAGAAACTAATGAATAGGTAAAATAAAATACTTTCACTCACGGGAAGCACTAGATGCCACAACAATGTGAGAACAGCAGACAGCACTTTGTTTTACCATCTGGCTTAGTTTCAATATATCCGGTAGATGTCGCGTATGGACGAGGAATATTCAATAGGAGACATAGGCTGAGATTGAACAAAGTGCTCTCAGGAGAGATCAGAAATGATCAAAGTGTAACACCAACAAAAGAAGAAAGTGTTAATGGACCTCTATTATTTCTGTTACATATTTTATAGATTGGAGCTATCAATTTATAAAGGTGGTAACTCAATTTTGTTATATAGTTATTTCTTAACTATGTGCTTTGTATTATACAAAGCTAAGTGATAATAAAGTATTGTTGACTTGTATTTATTATAATTGTCTTAACACTGTTTCTGACAGATCATGTCACCTAACTTGACAGACACCCTGAACACGGAACACACGTCTATATGACAAATTTAAAACACATTAAATAAAATTTTGGCAATTGTATTAGGGGCAAAAACTTCTTCAGTCTTCAAAACCTCAAAACCATGAGAAAGTGAATCAACATCTTTATGCAAAAACAGCTCGACTACATTTTTATCATTTCACGGGCAACCCTACAAGATTCTACAAATATCAGATCATTACATTAATTTACTTACGAATTAGGTAGGACTTTGAACATGTACAGTAGGGAGTTGAGATGAAGTACAAATAATTAACTTTATTATAATATTTTCATGAAAGGCATATATTTCATACCTCAGAAATATGGAAAAGATAATATTGATGAGTTGATACTTATGTATTTCTCAGACTATGAATATGTTGTCAAGGTAATCAATGAGGTACTGGAAAATATATTCAGATTATGTTGTGTAAATCCATTGAAAATAACTATAAAAATAGATATTCATGCACGAACAAAAGGTTTATGCAAAGTCAGTCCTAAGTAAAAATTAATAATGAGATAATTGAACAATAATTATTGTAGATCGGAGGTTGAAGTACAAAGAGCAGGTAAATTATGTCATCAAAACGTAATTGCCAGAAATGGGAGCATATAGAAATATTCAGGTTATTTAACAAAATTATCAAAAACTATGATTTATCTCACTTCAACTATTGCTCTACAACACTATTCTTGCTGTATCAAAATGAAATTTATAGACTTCAAAAAGTACAAAATCTTGTAATTTCATCTTGTTTCAAAATCCCAATGACGGATAAGTTCAGTTCATTAAAAAGGTTGCCTATTCACAAATTCTTGTTGTATCAAGCCCTCATTTTCTTTCATAGATTAAAATCATTTTTATTCACAAGAAACTTTTTTTTTCTATTCCAAAAAACCACTATTATGCAGAACATAAAACATTTTTACCAAACATCAAACTGTTCAAATGTCATGCTATTAGGTTGTTTAAAAAGGTTTGTCTGTTTAAATGTCATGTGTTTTTGTAGCTTAACTTTTGAACAACAAAACTTATGAATGAAAAATGTAAATATCAACTACACATAACAATTATTGATACACGTGGTAGCCAACTTAGAAAAAATATGTGTACTCCAAACGAAATCCTTATATGATACGGTTGATCAGCCACAACAAGATAGTCCCTACTCACCTAGTTTTGGCAATGTCAACAGGCATCGAAGCGGCAGTGGTAATGAGACCAGATATCATAGACGCTATGAAGTGTAGCAACACACCTTCTTCGATTTTGAACTTTTCCACAATCAACTGCTTCGCTTGGGAATAGCTGGCCAGCTGAGCAGCGTTAACAACCATAGCACGACCCATCGTAGGTATAGCCCCCCTCCATAAAGTGAGAAGGCCCTCTTCTCTATAAATTCTCATCAGAGCATCGATAACACTTTTATAATTTCGCCTTTCATTCGGGGGCAAACGACCGTCCGCGGTCATTCGTATCAGAGCCACCTCTGCTGGAGTTCCAACAAAAGCCCCACATATTCCGGAGACCATACCAAGGGCGGCCTTCACTCCAAAACTGGGAGGCTTCCCGTCGGTTTTCATCATGTCGAAAAGCCATGTGTATATACCTAGATAAATTATGCAAATTCATCAAAAACAATAAAGACAAGACTTCAGTGTCGAATAGATCAGGATTACATAACTTGACTTGTGGTTCTCGCATTAAATTTATATTGGCCAAACAAGGGGGACCTTTTCCAAAAGAATAAAAGAACATAGGAGTAGTTTCTTCAATGTGAAGACCAATTCCACATTTGCAAACCGTTTTCTTCATCTCCTAAAGATGCCAACTTGGTTGGCCTCTTCTTTCGTTAGATCAAAACTTGTGTAATAATCTACCTGATGATTTGAATAAATTATGTATCATGAAATTCATGAAACATTGAGTCACTGTTTTTACTTGGTCAATGATTACATACGAAATGTTTCAAATTAGGAATATACTCACTCTGGTTTCCGATATATTTATATCATCCATATGTACGTTTTTGAATATTTCGGTCATTTGTTATGTTACAATAAACATTCTTCAATGTGAAGTAGTCAAATAAAGCTTATCTTATATATCTTATCTCAAGTATTGAATTTAAAATGAATATTAAAATATTATTGAGAATAATAGATAATAAAACAAATAAACAAAAGTAGATATATCATTCACAAAAAATAACTCAATTTGAGAGGACTTCTGATGATATTTTTGAGAGATTCAGCGCAGGTACTGGAATTTATTTTTTAATTCATGAAATAACTGATCAGTATATTCATGTACGTCTCGTTTAAAATCATTTAGGTTTGTTTTTCATTATTGATGTGTTTTCTTATGTTTTTTTCAACTATTCAACATAAAATACTATTTGTCAATAAGGATCTTTGTTTTTCTTTCTGTATTTGAGAATGAATTAGAAAAGTTCTGAGCAATAATTATGAAAAGGTCAAGTGTTTTACCCAAATACCTAGTCTCGTGGTTGTGTATGTTGCTTGCCTCAAGAGTCCCGCTGATATACCGTTGTACAAAGCGAAAAAGCCTTCTTTTTCGATGATGCCTCGAAAAGCATGTAAAGATGTTTTATATTCTTTAGGCTTTCCACCAACTCCACTGAGCTGCATTCTGTTCTTGACTAAATCCAGGGGTTGGACAAATAAGGTGGCCCCCATCCTGGAAAGAAGACCATTTTCATTTTAGCAGAAATTGAATTATAGGCATAAGTACCCTGCTGATCCACCAAAAAGGAATTTGAGCGCATTTGGAATATTTTTTTCAGACATCTTACTGGAATTTGTACGTTCTAGTACTAATATAAAACTGAATTAAAAGAATTTGTTGCCGGTGCACTTAGAGGTGAGAAAGGTCATCACGGAAATTTTTTAAGTGACTTTTAAACTGGAAAAATGTCATTAAAAAAAATGTCATTTCTCTTTACACGTCATTGTTTGTCCTGTGTCCATTCCGTTAGTAAAACGAGTACATATTTTGTGTATTTCTATCCTTTATCTGGCTATACGTTGATAAAAGATAGATATACATTGAATGTGTACTGTTTTCAACAACGGAAAACGTTAAGAAATATCCCTAGTGTGATCATTTGGATCCTTTCCCAATATGAAATAGTTTGGCAAAATATATTTGACCTACGACACTCTTGATAAGAAATAAAATGGAGATCCTATAAGTTTCAGCATCCCATTGTCAGAGGTGACGAGTACACTTTAAAGTGACACCGCTTGACAATGTCAAATTGGTACTACAATAATAAGTGTAAATGTTATTTACATTTACACTTATCAAGTTAAATATTTTTTACATTATGGTCCAAAAATTAAGGAACTAAATAAAATACTAACGACATTTCGATTCTTCCTCCACCTGTCAACATAAGAACAAAGTTGGGTCAATATCGCGTAGAGAGTTTTTGACGAAACAAAAGCGAATTTATTTAAACACCATGGTTTTTATGCATCTTTCTTGTAACTACATATATAATACATATAAATCTATAACAACGAATATATCATAAGTTTGGGGTCACTTGCAGAAGGAATTCAAAATAAGTGCTTTTTTTAATGTAATTAAACATGGGATTCATTTTATGTTTTATAATTTTTCGCATATACCTAATAAGATAATATTTCAACCGTGATACACTTGGTATATGCGGTGAATCAAAATAAATATGGAAATCAAAACAAAACCATGAAAATTTGTCGAATGAGCATTGAATTAAGTGAACATAGTCAAACACATATGAATATATGATTATACTCACAACAATGAAATAAAGTTTAAAAACATAGAGATAACATAAACATATAAATATATACAGTCCTAAAATGATTATCATCCCATGAAAAACACGAAAAAAATTAGCAAGCAATATATATAATTTGAATGGATTGATTTCAAAATTAGAAATCAGATATTGAGTAGTGTTAGAGTTGTTTGAGATATCGTCATTTAGGAAGTCTCGGTTATAGTAACATTTTTTTTAGCAGGTTTCAAACATCATTGTGAAATTTTAAATAATTTTTAACCTTTTGAAATTCATCCGGTAACTTATTGAAATACAGGATCCCGTATGACACTTTTTAATCTCCCGTCATAGTGTGGAGATTTAAAAGTGTCATGCGATGTTGAGGAATTCGCAATAACTCTCCATTTGTGGTATTATGATTATGTACAATGGCATTTTCCATTGAAAGATTTGGGTTTTGGACCACACTGACCAAGATGCATAAAATATCCTGATGTAAATATTTGAACCGTCATTTCCCCATGTTAAATATAGTGTCAGAAGCTCTCGACTTGTGGCATTTTTAATAAATGAATAATAAAGAGATCCAATTAATTTCCGCATTTCATTCTCAGAGTTGCTGAGTACAACCATTGTATATGTACAACCCAAGTGACGTAGCTTAACAATATCAAGCTGGCTCTACAATTTTTAATGTTGTTCAAATTTGTGAATGAATCGATATCAGATGAAAGATTTTTTAAATATGGTCCATGAATTAAAGATCTGAACAAAATACGTGTGATAGATCTTGATTTATGCACCATCTATTGATTTTTTTTGACAAAAACGAAAGCAAATCGGTAAACCACCAGGGTTTCTATGCATCTTGGCAGAGAATACATTATCTTCTTCTTCTTGTGTTGGAGGTTATGTTGCGAGGTTGTTATAAAAAAGGAAGTGTTTTAATTTTCAAGGTAAAAGTGTGATAAACAAATATTTTCTCATTTAATTATCAATTATTCTATATACGTTTCGTCTATTGAAAGGAATATAACGAATCGTTTGTATCGGTCCAACTGTTTTAGACAAAAAAAATATTCCAAATTTCAGATTTGCTTAATTGAGTGAAATGGATGCTCCAAAAACTACGGACATTGTCCTTTTATCTGGGAATTCGCACCCGGAGCTATCAAATTTGATACATCGAAGACTGGGAGTGAAATCCAGTGGATGTGCAGTTTACCACAAGTCGAATCGTGAATCAATGGTTCAAATTGGTGACTCCATTCGGGGTAAAGAAGTTTACATTATACAAACGGGAACAAAGTAAGATTATTTTATTAACAATCAGATGGCCTGAATACAGATTTCAATTTTTTACTGTCAAGTAAAAGTGGCTTCTCTTATCTTCTTATCTTCAAGGATGTTTTTTGTGCTCAGAATTATCAGAATAATTTTTTAGTGGGTAGATTGTTTTGCTGTATAATCCTCCTTATTTTCTAGGGATGTCAATAATAACATAATGGAACTATTAATAATGGCTTACGCATGCAAAACTTCTTCCGCTAAGTCTATTGTAGGTGTTATTCCGTATCTGCCGTACAGCAAGCAGTGTAAAATGCGTAAAAGAGGAAGTATTGTAACAAAGTTACTAGCTCAAATGATGTGCAACTCAGGATTAACTCACATCATCACCATGGATTTGCATCAGAAAGAAATTCAAGGGTTTTTCGATTGTCCTGTCGATAATTTGAGAGCTAGTCCTTTCCTTCTGCAATACATTCAAGAAAGTGTTAGTAAATTTTCAAATAAATAATTTTTTATTCAAGCAACACTAGACAGTTCACAAAATGGCAAAACTTGTTTCAATATACATCAGCTTTAAACATGTTCACCACTGATGTATAGTAAAACCAATAATGATTGAGAGTAAAGCGCGTTGTCATATCTAAATTTTACGTTACCAGTTTATAGCAGAATCAAAATATAGTAAGCAGTAGAGTTGTAGGTTGTGGCAAATTAATAATACACAATACTAGTATGATTAAAAGGTATTATTTATGACAAAAATCATATTAGACGAAAATTTGTACATTTACATTTATATTATATTCTATTATCAAAAATTTGTAATTTGTATTTTCTAGTACCCCTGACGATGAGTTTATGTTACTCGAAAGCTTGAGAATAGTTATAAAGAGTTCACTTATCAATTGCTGCAACCCAATAGTGAAAAAAAGTTATATATATATAAGGCCCACCTAATGACTACAACGATTAGGTAAATTACGATATTGCAAAGTTTCAATGAAATTAATAAAAAATGTGTATGAATATTTTAACTAATTGTACTAAGAATTTTTCTTTCATTCTTAACCCTCTCAAAAATTAATAAGCACGCCCCCGGTTTGCTGTCAACTGGGCTTACTTCTACTCTCAATCATTATTGGTTTTAGTATAGTTGGTAATATTTCAGAAAGACTAAATAGGAATGGCCCTAAATGACTTCCTTGCGGTACTCCTGAGCTGATAGAAGTTTCATGGGATATAAATTCTTTGATTTTTACCACGTTTATTCTGTCACTTAGATAAATAATTTGTTTGCCAATGGACACGGTCTTGTGAACTCTCAATAAACTGAAGTGTTTCTTGTATACGTTTTGAATTTTCATCAAGTATCGGCCGATTCCATCATATAATTCCTGTTGTGTTGTATCATCAAATTTTTCAGATCCCCGATTATCGAAATGCCGTAATAGTAGCAAGAAACCCTGCTGCTACTGCTAAAGCCACTTCATATGCGGAACGTCTTCGACTGGGCATTGCTGTCATTCATGGTGAACAAAAAGAGTCAGAATCTGATGAAGTCGACGGTCGATATTCCCCGCCAACCATTCCTAGATCCCGTACAATGGATGCCGGTGTGGGGGTACCGGTGCATATTGCCAAAGAGAAACCACCCATTAACGTCGTAGGTGATGTCGGAGGAAGAATTGCAATTATGGTGGTAAGAGATTTTTTTAAAGCTATGCCTTGTTACTACAAAAATTGATTTGGCAGAAATAAATTTCAATTTTTTTCTCATTTATACCAGCAACATCTGAGAACTGAAATTTCACGTGTTCAAGATCAATTATCACACTATTGTTACACATTGTTACAGTGTCTCGTAAACGGTAGTTCCATTTGGATTTAAAAAAAAGGTTTATTGTCGAACAGGAGCAATCCCAATTACAATTTTCGTTTTCCAGGACGATCTAATTGATGATGTCCAATCTTTTGTGGCAGCTGCCGAAGTTCTGAAGGAACGTGGTGCATACAAAATTTATGTGATGGCTACTCATGGTCTGCTCTCATCAGATGCGCCTAGATTAATCGAAGATTCTCCTATTGATGAGGTAAGTCGACAGACATCATTGATAATGTTCACCCACAGTCAAGTTTGGATGTTCTACTTCAACAAGTTTATTTCTTGATTGGGATTTGTTCTTATTTAATGTCCTTTCAAACTTTCTCATTTTGGGATTTAATTTTCAATTCTGTTCCGCCGATACAGGTTGTTGTGACTAATACAATTCCCCACGAACTTCAGAAGATGCAGTGCCACAAAATCAAAACCGTCGATATATCAATTTTGCTCTCGGAAGCTATCAGAAGAATCCACAACAAGGAATCCATGTCGTATCTATTCAAAAACGTCACTCTGGAGGATTAAATGTCTCCTCGTAGAGCTGCACGCTTTGTCAAATTCCTAGCTGTTTGGTAGTATTAGAGGTTATTTTAAATTTTACCAAAAATATCCAATATAGCCTTAAGAGCGATGGGAGAGTATGACGGAAGTTCCTAGGAAAGAAAAACGTCTATTTGAAATTTATGTTTGTTGGAGTCTTATAATTTGTGCAGTGAAATTTATCAATGTTTATTCCAGGAACGGAAAGAAATCATACAACGAGTTAGTTTCCACGGTAATTGTTTCTTTTTAATCTTTTCTTTTCTTCAAATTTTTGACAAACTACATAAACCATGTTGAATTAACCAAAAAACTTTATATTTTATTTTGTTTTAAATATTGTGTTGATCCTATCTTATTTCTGAACATACACCAAGCAAGTATTGACGTCAAATGTTGAATTGCAACTGTGAGATGTATTCTTTCTGTAATAAAATGATAAATTAAATACATAACCATGTTTTTTTTATCAATTATCGCATTATTTTCGTAAAACGAATTGTATTTGTCCAGATGGCAAGGACACAGTCCAGGATATTAAGGTCATTAGAAGTCAATGTGATGTTTTACTAAACAAAAAAGAAGGATTATATTATGAACAAACTTTGACAACAATAAAGTAATGGTAAGGAAAGTGGAAGTGCCTTAAAAAACTTGTTAGGCCAAAACAACATGTTGTTAGCTGTATTCAGCTTGAAATTTATCATCAAAATGTAATTTCAAATAAGCAACTAAACATTGCTAATAATTTTAATTCATTTTCATATACAGTGTAAATGAAATAACATCAGTTTTTCTGAAATGTGCAGCAATGGACCCATGACTACCCTGTTATATCAACTAATTACACTGAATTCGTGCCTATAACAATTAATGAACTCTTGTCTCTTGACAAAACTAACAAAGCAGAAATTTTGAATAATAATTTCTTGAAAAAAGTTTTGATGTACTGGATACGCAATATTAAATTTAATTAACACATCACTTAGAAACGGTGTGTTTCCTGATCAATTTAAGGCTTCCACTGTTGTTTCTGTACCGAAAATTAACTCATTTGAAGTTGAAAATTTTAGGCCATTAAATATACTACCAACTCTTGAAAAAGTGTTGGAACTGTCAGAATATAACCAATTAATTCAGTATTTTAATACCAATGAATTGTTTTTAGGCAACTAAGCAGGTTTTAGAGCTGGACACTCAGAAGAAACGTCTCAACAATTTTTAATAACCGAATAAAAAAATATAATTGATAGAAATCAGTACATAGTCATTTCTTGACCATAAAAAGGCATTTGAATTGTTGTTCTAATTATTCTACTTGAAAAATTAAAGTATTAAGGGATATCAGGGATTGTTTTTGATTGGATTCAAAGTTACTTATTTAACAGAAGACAAAAAACTAAATTTGGAAAAGAATTGTCAGATGAACTTATAATTGAGAGTGGCATACCCCAGGGTAGTGTGTTAGGCCCATTGCATTTTATTATTTATCTAAATTATATTAACCAAATTTCTGGATTACATTGTATAAATCTTCTTGCAGATGATGCATTGGTTTATTGTATACATGAAAATTTGGATCAGGCAATTGTTGAAATGAATAGGTCTTTAAATAGCATTGAAACATATTTATTTAGTAATGAACTGTGAATAAATAAATACAAAATTATACATGGGGTGCTACTGGCTCTTCAGATCATCTTGTAAACAATACGAAATCAAGGACGGTAAAATGACATGTTATACAATTATCCAGACTTCACTCTTTTGAAACTGAAATATCAGTGTTTAATCCACAATTAGTACACCGCAAGTCCACGTTATTAAAAATTTCGAGCTTGTTCTGCCATCTAGTTGGATAAGTTGAAAGCTGTCCATGTGATGAAATAGAAACCTGCAACAATCTAAGTAGTTTTAGCTATGGTTTACAGATGGCAGATCACTAGTGCTGCCATCTATCTTGCTCAGTATAATGTTTTATAGAAATATATAGAAACCGCTGAACAGAAGATGGAAAGATTTGACTACCAAACGACAGATGGCAGAATGAACCTTATTATGAAGATGAAAACTGGATTTATGAGTATAGATTTTGAATGCAATATTTTCTTTCAGCTTCAAATATTTTCAACAATTTTAAAATACCCATTAACAAATTTTATTTCAAGAAATCTACTATACAGGATAGTTGAAACATTTTTGAATATCACTAATCAGGATCATCCAATGAAGATTTGTGCGTGGCTCACCCACCCGTCTCCAGTAAGTAAGTAGTCTTTATTGAATAGGAATAATCCTAATATTCACAATACAAAGTTATAATTCTACAATAAATGATTAAGTAAACCTCTTATGTCTCAATTACTTATATTTTCTTCTATTTAGACATACGAGGTGTGGCAAAAAAGTTATGGGACTGATTTTTTTCTTTTTTTTCAAACATCAAAATAGATTAACTTGGGCATCTACATACCATTAGAGACGTTGTTCTCCCTTTTGGTAGCAGAGCTGGAAGTTTTCAACTGGTATGGTCTTCAGCATGTTCATTACACTCTTTTGAATGTTTTAGCATGTTCATTACTCTTTTGAATGTTTTTCAAAGTCCCGAAATGACGTCTTTTAAGGACATTTTTCAGTTTAGCAAAATGTCACAGGGACTGAGATCAGGTGAATAGGGAGGTTGGGGAACCATAGGAATGCCGTCCAAGATTGTCATGATGGAGCAGCCATTTGTCTGGTCTCACGCGACGTCTTTATAAGGCTGCCTCTTGGTTTCAGGATCATATTTGAAATCCATCATCTTACCCATTGGAGATTCTGTGAAGATTAAAACCCTTGTTTTTGTGTTCAATTGTGAGGTTTTTCAACGTTTCACAGCAGGAATTGAAATTCGCATTCTGAACGACTGGAGAGTAATAAGTACTGATACATGCCCCTATAAAGGACAACAGCGCAGCGTTGCCAAATGGCTTGCAGTGTTTCTAGTCTCATTACTTTTCAGGCACATCTTGTGTATCAGTCCCCTTCAAGTGGCTCCATCTATTCGGATTTTCAGGAAACGTCAAATCAACATTTTTCAGTACCCAAATTAATGTTTTCAAGTGAACCACAAGAAAGCAGTTTGCTGAATATAAGGTAAAAAGGACTTTTGCGTTAATTGAATAGTTTTACTTTTGAAAAGTAGGCCAAGTAGTGACCATTGAAATAAAGAGATGCTGAGCAGTACATACTCAACCTCCCCATACTCTCAGATAAAACCAAAAGTTACAACTCAAGAAATTCAGCCAGAATACAATGTATTGGAAATTTAAGAAAAGCAACCGAAAATGATACAAAATCGAGTTTAATCTTTATTTTCTCCGTTCGAACTCATTTTGTACACTCTTCATCAAATACCTTCTGCTTTATAAATATAAATAACTATGTAACCTATAACATCGATAAAATAAAAAAATTACAGTTCAAAAAATTCATCAATCAACGAACTACTAAATTATGTATGTACAAGAAACAAACAACTTGGAAAAAACTATGAACACTAGTTACGAAAATTTGATATCTACTTCCTAATAAAGTAAGTGAATTGTTATTTCATGACTCTTCCACCGACATCGACATTAAATGAGTCATCACGTGCTTAACGATAATCTGATTATCTTCCACTAAAATTAGGTGTTTGCCCGAAGGTATGACGTCAGTCTCCAAATTCACTTCTTCGATGGGTTCCCCTGTCTCTGCCTTCCAACAGAGGATCCCTTGGTCGTAAAAGGAGAGAAGGAGGCCGTTTTCTACGCAAACTCCCCTCAACCTACAGAAAAATTGAAATTATTAATATGTGCCTCCTCCAAAACATTTTTGGTACAAAATAAGTACATGGTAAGTCAAAAAAAAAAATAGACAATTAGTAACATTGAAGTCATAAACCTCAAACTCAGACAAATAAAACTTAAAGACCAGCATAAATTATCGTTAAAGTATTCCTGGTAGCTTTAATAGCATTTTTCAATGAGGAAAGATTTGACCGTTCACAAAGCACATTGTGAGGTTCAGATCCCCCAATTGAGATTAGCAGTTTATTGTAGAAGGTGACGGCATTATAAAGGTGCGATTTTTTAAAGGTTGGGATAAGCGATATCGGCCTGAAATTTGCTGGATCTTCATTGTTGCCGCCTTTATGGAAAGGAATGACAACCGAGGTTTTGAGAATTGAAGAAAATGTTTCTTGCTCGAAGGAGTTGTTAATCAGTTCAACAAGTATATTGAGTGCAGTCTCAGGAAGACTTTCCAGTATTTTAATCAAAGCCAGATGCTTTCTTATTTTTTATGTTTCTAATTACTTGGCCGCGGTGGTAGTGCGCCCGACTCACGACTGGAAGGCCGCGGTTTCGATTCCCTCCTCGACCAGATATTTTTCTCGAGAGAATTTATCAGGTTGAAGCTGGGACGATTCTGCAACCGTGTTAGGAATCACACGTTAAAAGGTAAGACCTCGTTAGTCTTTAGCTCGCACAAGTTTCTCAACTTCTGAGAGTTGTCGTTCGTATAGGGGCGACAGCTGATTAACGGAAAAACAGATTTTAAACAAATTTAAACAGAATTCATTTACACTGATGTGGTGTAACGAAAAGGTACTGTCTACATAAATATCACTGAGATATTCTAGGGCAGGGGTCTCCAAACTTTAAAGCCTTCGGGCCATAATGATCTTTTGTTCCAAGGGCCAATTTCTGCCCTTAACTATATTTCTAGACTAGGATAGTTGCAAAGTGTGTGATCTAAGCAAACTTACGCTTTTTTCGCATTTCAATTATTATTGTGTGACACTTAACGACATCTAGTGGCGAGTAGTGGTACTATGTACTATCTTTTTCAGCTACCCGCTAGGTGGCATTAGGCGTAATTAAATATTTGGAATTACCGCGTTGGTTNAGACTGAATTTCCCGTCAATTTTGCAATCGAAACTTTGAGTGCTTTGAGGATAAATTTTGATACTCGTTTTTCAGATTTTGATGTCATTGCGAATGAAATTAAGCTTTTTCAAAATCCTTTTGATTCTGACATTGAAACCCTGGCTCCGGAAGTCCAAATGGAAATTATTGATTTACGGTGCAGTGATATGCTTAAGAACAAATATCAAAATTAATCCTTGTTGGAATTTTATATGAATCTTCCACTGGAACAATTTGATAATTTGCATAAATTTGCTCGTGGGTTGTTTTCTGTTTTTGGTACTATTTACTTGTGTTAGAAAACGTTTTTCAATATGAAGTACACAAAGAATGTTTACAGATCTCAATTAACTGATGAACATCTTAAATCTCTTTTGATAATTGGTACAAGTAAAATTGATCCACAACTACAAAGTATTGTCGGTGGAAAATCACAATTGCATACATCTCATTAGTGTTTTTGTTTTACTGTGATCCATTTCAATTATTTGTTAGTTATTAATATGCTTAAACTTAGATACTTCAGTAAGTTTTCTTTGTCATCATTTCTGTTGTTAAGTTTTACCTTGCAAGTAAATGAAACCAAGTATTTATCATTCTGTGTTTTCTTCTTCAACTTGTCACAGCAATAGTAACAACAATTAGGTAATCATTGGATGACGCGGGCCAGATTGATGACAGTAAATCATTGGCTGTCGCGGGCCGGATTGATGACACTGGCGGGTCGGATTTGGCCCGCGGGCCGTAGTTTGGAGACCCCTGCACTAGAACAACGCAGAACAGTCAATTCTGAGTGGTACACAACCATTTGTTTGCCAGTTGTCTTCCAAGAAATCAGGAAAACCAACCGGCAAAGACAGATCACTCTTCACCACAACAATGCGAGCTCTCACACATCGGCTCAAACAACTACATTTTTGAGCACCCAAAACATCGATTTGATGAGTCATCCCCTATATAGCCCTGACTTGGCACCGAATTACCTCTTTTTATTCCCTCACATGAAAAACAAACTGAGAGGTCAACGTTTTTTGACACCTGAAGAAGCGGTTACTGCATTAAGAATGCGTGTTTTGGAGATACCTCAATCAGAGTGGCAAAAGTGCTTCGACAATTGGTGCAAACGCATGCAAAAGTGTATAGATCTTCATGGGGAATATTTTGAAAAAAAATAAAAGGGATTTTCGATGATTAATATTTGTTTTTGTTCTCTAATCCCGAAATATAAAAGGTAATCTTCGTATACGAGTTGGTGAATTGATACAATTGATTTTCTGATTGATTCGGCCGTTACTTGATGAAGATCCATAGTAATTTCACAAACTACACTTAAACGATTTGATCTCCACTAACTTTATTGAAAATAATCATAACATGTTTCGCTAAAACATTAGCTTTNTGAAAGCCAAATTGGGCATTGTTTATTATATTATGTTTTGTAAAGAAGAATATCATTCTTTTCTTGACAAGTTTCTCTATAAGTTTCGATAGAGATGGTATAAGAGAAATTGGTCGAAGGTTTGACGGCTCGTTCGCTGCACCCCCTTGTGAATAGGAATAACTAAAGCAGTTTTCAGGACGCCAGGAAATGTTCCAGTTGTGAAAGACACATTAATTGAATCCGCCAGAATATGAAGAACCTGATCGGAAAGATTTTCAAAAAGTTTAATGGATACTTCGTCAATCCCGTGTGTTTTTTTATTTTTGATATATTTTAAAGTTTCTCTAATTTCCTCAACATTTGTATGATCTAATATGAATTCCTCGGGTATATTGATATTTTTTAGGTAATCTAAGGGGTTATTTTGTGCTGTTATAGTGGATGTAAGTTTTTCTGCTATTGTGCAATAAAAATTGTTGAGAGAATTTGGATCAATCTCCAATTGAACTGGGAGTATGTTTGTCTTTCCCCTTAGCTCATTGACTATGGCCCAGTTTTCTTTAGATTTGTTTGACGATGTAGAAATTCTTTCACAGTAATACTTTTCTTTCGCTCTTTTAATGATTAATCTGTACAGTTTGCGGTAATTATCAAAGACTCTGTAAATTGTTGTTAAGTTGAAAAAACAAACGTATAGTGAACTATTTCGACAAATAAAAGTTGTATTGAATAGAAATTGGCTGAAATGAAAATGAGTAGAAAACCGTAAGTTATGAAAATGAAACCGTTTCGATTCAGAGAGTTCATTCGATATTTTTTTCTATACAAAGTATGAAGGTACTCAAATTTACTGAAATTAGAACTGTTTTCTCAATAGCTCATATCATTAGGACACAAAACCAACACTTCAATCATTTCAAAATAAGCAGTGCAGAATCATCGTCATTTTAACTTGAAAAAAAAAAAAGTTTTCGTACCTATCGAAACCTTCAGGAGGAAAATAGCTGGCAAGTTTCTTCCACGAATGGTTGATCCCGTTAATGGCAATCAACCGCAATTCCCTGTCGACACACTGCTGAAGAGCGAAGAGAAAGCCCTGGAAATAATCAATAGGAGAAATTGAATCTGAATCTTCATGCCTAATTTTTCTCACTCACCCTATCACATTTCACCCACAGGGTGGAAAGCGGAGATTTTATATCCTTCAATTCAACTGTCGCTATTATATAACCAAACTCGACGTTCCACAAGGTGATTTTGTTTTCTCCACAACCCATTATCAAGTTGTCACACTCTAAAAAAAACCAGTGTTAACAAAGAAAAAAGAAAGACAAAACATGTAATTGAAACCGAATAAATCTAACGGAAAAAACATTTTAGTTCGCTATTAACTGATTCATGATCAAGTTAACTACTATACTTTTTCTAGAACTTAAATCATGCAATTCAGCACCACCTGCAATAAGTTTGTGAGTGAAACATACCCTCGATGTTATGTAAAGATGATACATAGTGATCGATGGGTTCGATATCGAATATATTAGACACTGTCTGATAGTCCGGGGCTAGAAGATAGGCGTGGATGAACGTTCTCTTCGAAACGTTGTCTTCGTTGGTACAGTGCCAGCTTACTATGATTTTTTGCGAACTTTTCATCACTGAATACTGAACGTCGTCGGCGAACCTAGAAGAATATACTAAAGTCACTGATAGAAACATATCATTTTCATTTATTCAACGGGAATACAACATTATGAGGAAAATAGCAGAATAATAAATGAATTAACATTTGATAAAGAATATTAGGAAACATAAAAAACCTATAACACTCAAAAGAGTATTTCTTCTCAGTTTCTGAAAAACTGACAAAAAATATGCGTTCCGATTCCGATCCATTAGAAAACCTTCCAAGTCATGCTATTATAAAGTCACTTCTTCTGTATTATATTGATTTGAGAGAAGTTAAAGAAATCATCAAGTCTTACAAAAACAAAAAACTATGGGTATTCAATGATACATCAATTCGAATTTTCAAAAATACTCCAGACTATTCACAAGAAGTCATAGTCACTCTAATATCTTTCGGCAAAGGTCTGTTCTCCGATTTCCCAAAGAGATCAGTCTTAATTCCATTTCATAAAAGGGATACTCGGGATGATCCAGCCAATTATAGACTAATAGCTCTCATACTACAATGGCTAAAGTGATAGAAAAATGAGTTAAAATTGAAATGGTGGAACTTTTTAAAAAGCACATCATTCTTATGAGCAATCAGTTTGGTTTTCAAGGCATTAAAAATACCAATGATGCCATTTTCTCATTCATAAAAAAAGGATACACTGTGTTGAATAATGATGAGATGATGGTGGCAGTATTTTGTGTTTTTTTTTTGTGGCGTTTGACTGTGTGAATTATGAAATACTGTTACAGAAACTTCACTACTACGGAATTAGAGGAATTGCCTTTAAATGGTGTAATTCCTACCTACCAGGTCGAAGCCATACAGTGAAAACAACAATACTCTCTGAAATAGCACACATGAAGACTGGCATACCTCAAGACTCAATACTGGGTCCGCTCTTCTTTTTGGTGTACATCAATGATTTATCAAATGTCAAAATATTGTGGACACTTCACACTGTATGCCGATGACACCACCATAATGTGGCACAGTTCTGATTTAGAGCCCTTAAATTTCAATGTCTCAAAGACCAATGTTGTCACTTTTAGAAGATAGACTGAAAATGTTTTATTAAAAGGATCAATTGAGAACAAACTTCCTGAGGTTACACATTTATAGCAGACTGAATTTTGATATAAGATTGAGAATCCTGAAAGCAAACTAGCATCTGTATCTTATGCAGTTCGTGTACTATTCAATAAACTCGGACTGTCAAACACAAAGATGGTTAATGGCATTCAGTAATAGAGTCTTACCTGTGTTATGGCATGGCCTTCTGGGGGGTTAGTAACAACCACAAGCGGGCCATTTGAATCCAAGAAAAACGGAAAATATGGTACATTTATAAAGCAAAAAAATCGAGATTCTGAATGCCTGATAAGAAAACACATCAACAGATGTGAAGACATCCCAACGAATTATAGTACTCGGCAGGTAGAAAATATTACATAACCTATTCCAACCTCAAAGCTTGTCAAAGACTCTCTTATATACAATGGTTAAAAAATATATAAAAATCCACCACTGGGGATAAAGAAAATTAAATATTTCTAAAGTGGCATTTTATTTTGTAAGTGGGGATTATTTACAACGATTCAGGACAACGAAGATGATGACGACGAAACAGAAATTCCTGTACGTCCAGAATACGAAAAAGAAGAAAGCCAATACTTTTCTTTTTTACATAATACTGGTGCGAGCTCATTGGCGCACTTTTTAAGTACGATGACGGGCACTTCATCAGGACCAGACTCCTTGTTGATAATAAGGTGTTTCAAAACTCGCCAGATTAGACGTTTCCGATACTGAATAACGGAGAAAATCGTTTCTATGATTTTTCATTTGAATGAAATATATTTACCCATTGATATTCTCCAACTGCAAGACCTTCTTATCCAAACCGTTCTTTCGCTGTTTCCAAAAGTACAGGGTTACGAAGACGTCTGTCACAGGCCCCTGTCTCATTTCAGACTTGTGCTCCTTCATCCACAGTTCGATGTAGACGACACTGCTCTCGGTACAAATCACTCTCTCCATAGACTCTTTTTGAACGCATTTGTTGTTGGGAACTATCCTTTGCGTCTGGCCGCGGGGGACCCACATGTCTTGCGAACCGAGCACATTGCCTGGAAAATAAAAAAAATATTTGTTACAATTGAAAGGGAACGTCTTTTAGGAAAAATTAGTTTCTGGGAGAGAACCTTTTGGCTTCATACTAGGAATCACACGTTAAAAGGTAAGACCTCGTTAGTCCTTAGCTAGCATAAGTTTCGATTTTTGAGAGTTGTCGTTCTGATGGGGGGCGACAGTTGGTTAACGAAAAAACAGACAGACAGGCTGCTCCATCGTTCTACAGAAAGTGTGAAACTTCAGAAGAAAGGAAGGAAGTAATTAAATACATCAATGAAAACCCTTCAAAAAAATGTGCAGACCATGGAACAGAAGTTTCTTTCAGACACAAACTGCAAAAAAACATAAAAAACAACTAGTTTCAAATATATGAACATTTTGTTGTTATTGTGCAAAAAAAAATTCTTTATTTCCACAAAGACAATATAAAGTTGTATAAGAAAGAAAGAAATTTTATTGATGCTTTACGCTCTTCATGTTTACACAAATCAGGTGGGAATATACTAGTAAAATAGGTAAGTCATGGTTATAATTACATCTACATAATATAAAAGGTTTAAACTTAAAGATAGTTATAAAATATTTATGCTCTACCTGTGTGTCACTGCAACATCGGCAAAGAAGAGACCACATCATCAGACAGGAATTCTTCAATGCTATAATACGCTTTTTTGATAAGTAGTTTTTTTATTATTTGTAGGAAACTTTTAGTAGGGGTACAGCGTATAGCTTCAGGAATTTTGTTGAAGAATATCGGACCACAATAATTGTTATAATTTCTGATTTTAGACAACCCATGATACTGTAGAACTAAATTATTTTTTTGTCGGGTATTATGTAAAGGAGTAGTGGATACATAGTCATAAGTTTTATATTGATTTTTATAAACTTAATGCATGCATAATGTTTCGATGTAGTATATACCTTCAATTAGTATCGGTCCCAAAATGGAACCTTGGAGTACTTGGAGTATAGCTAGCATTCAAACTCATAAAAAAACTCACCCAACGGTGTTTGCATCCAGAACGAAATCAGGAACTCCTGGCAGACTATGAGATTGTAATCCACGTAGAAAGCTCTCACGACAGGACTTGAAAAAGAAAATAATTGTTCATTTGATTTAATTGTCCGATAATAATCAATATATTCAAGTAACATTTCATTCTGAGATTTTCACAAAATGGATTACAAAACCGGAACACAATATATCTTTCTGAGGTTTCACTTCAACTTTTCGAAGATTCTATAGCTTTCTATTGTATAGCAGTTTTCTCACAGCCTCTTGAGACTCTTGAGAAATGACCCCTAATAGCCCCCTAACGACCCTGAAAGATGTATTTTGACCATGCGTGTTCATACTGTATGTATGCTAATGACAGCACATTTGCCTCGTCAATCCATTTGAATTCCAGAACATCTGCTGCAGATGCACGTTTTCACCACCAGCAGGAGGTTGCTTATCTTAATAAGGATCTAGGAAGTGATTTTGAATTGAAGTGAAAGTAACCAGATTCAATTTAATACCACAAAAACCCAGGTATCGATTTTCTCCAAGAAGATAAATGCCTCCGAACCTCAGAGTAACAAAAGACAATAGAGAGACCTTTTCCATCCTTACATTGAAGGCAGCATAACTGCTGAAAGTTGGACCATAAAACAGTGGCTCTTGGTTTAGTTGATAATCGGAGGGATATTATATAATTATAAAATAAATCATTTCAGGTGAAAATGTAATCTGTTTAAATCGTTCCTACAGAAAATCTGATTTATTATTAATGATTATGGAAATGAGGCCAGTTTTTCTACCACCTACCCGATTTTTATTTATGTATGGCTTTATAATAAAGCGCGTGGTTTACTGGGTTAAAATTAAATTGTTTCATATGAACTAATTCATAACAATGATAAATGTTAATTTCAAAAGTAATGAACTTTCTCAGATTTGAAAAACAAGCGGTACAGTTTGTGAGGTCCGATATAAATAATTTTCGATTAGAAATCATGATTTCATTCAAAATTGGTATCTAGAGGTCTTTGTGGACCGACATTATGAAAGGGGATATTTTTGATGTTTTTAATGATCATTACTTTGATCATATTCTTATGAATAAAGTTATTGAAACTAGGTTTATATTATTACATTATTTCACATATCCCAACCAAAAAAAGGTTAAAACAATGACAATCGTCATTTCTTATTGAATATTATCTTTATGCAACACAAGAGCCTCGTGCAAAGGAAGAAAAACCAAAACGGAAATCATATTCTTTGTATGACGTAAGTTAGTTGTTGAGTGAGCAATAACAGATTTGACACCAGCTGCACAAGAATAACTATTTAGTTATACAAACTGAACATTGAGCAGAAAGCTTTTAAATCTGTTGATCACAGAAGTAATATGACCTATGGTCATATTATTTTTTCATTTTTGAATACAGTTTTCTTCATTTACATTAATGATTTTTCGTAATTATAAAATTCATCAGCATGATTTATTGAAAAAAAAACATAATGTCGGCCCACGAAGACCCCTAGATACCAATTTTGAATGAAATCACATAATGATATCAAATCTCAATCGTAATTATAAATATTCATGATTTCTAATCGAAAATTCTTTATATCGGACATCACAAACCGTACAACTAATTCATCAAAGCTGAGAATAAATCACAAATTTCTTCATCTGATTTTATGAACCAGAGTTCATTACATTGTTATGAATTAGTTCATTTGAAATAATTTAATTTTAACCCAGTTAACCACGCGCTCTACTATAAAGCCATACATGAATGAACATCTAGTAGGTGGTAGAAAAACTAGACTCATTTCCATAATCATTAATAATAAATCAGATTTCCTGTAAGAACTATTTAAACAGAATACATTTTCACCTGAAATGATTTATTTTTGTGTCAAGACGTTTCGCCCCTGGCTAGAGGCTTTTTCAATTGTTTATTTGAAAATTTTTTTTTTATAACACATTGGATATTTGACTGGTTTCCTTACTTAAAATTATTGATAACTTTTCAAAATGTAAATAATGTTGAAGTGCTGTTGTTCTTATTTGATGGTGATTGTTAGTAAAGGTTCTGGTCATGTTTTCCTATGTTTTTGGTGTTTATTTTTTGAGAATCGGACTGAGCGTCGTTGTCTTAAAAATGGCAGGTGGAGGGATCCCTCCTAGCTAGGGGCTAGGAGGCATTGTATAGCTTAATTCCTATATTATCTGTTCTTTTCAACCTCTTAGCTGTAGGAACAAAGTTTGACTTATTTCTTGTATCTTGTTGGTGTATATTTGTATATCCATGTGAGCAACTTTATTTATCAAGTTTTGTTGAACAAGAAGCAGATTTTCATAGACAATAACTGAGCATAGGGTTAGTATTTTAAGTTTTGCTAATATTGGCCGACACTTTTCATCATAATTGGCAGAGATTATGCTTCTTACTGCAGATTTTTAAATGACAAGTATTCTATTAAGATGTACCTTTGATGCATTATTCCAATTGATTATACCATACCTAAGGACTGAATGAAAAAGTGAATATGTTGCAAATGCAGCACTTTGATTTACTATTTTTTTGATTCTACTGATTTGGGAAAAAAACATTTATAACTTTCTACTAATTCTCTCTCTGGTGTTTTCAATTGTTCAACGTTTGAGCTTCGACTCTAAAGCCATTTTCAAGAAAGTACTACACTAAGGTCTCAATCTGCCTACTCCTCAGATAGTGACACACTTTAAAGGTTTTGTGACTTGACGCCAGGGTCTCAATCTGCCTACTCCCCAGGTCTCGTCAAACAAGCAGAGTTATTCAGGATTTGTAAACAATATTAAAAATCATGCAATAACGAAATTAGACAAATAAAGACCTACTTTTTTTTTTCATCGAATCATTTCCTTCTTCAGAGGTGTTCTTTTTTGGAATAGGCCTGCTTGGAGTTTTCCTTTCATCTAGGCATTTCATTTGGTTATTTCTCGTTACTTCAGGAGTTTTCAAATTCTCGTCCATATCGAATTTGGTGTACTTTATATTTTTCTTATCACATATCCTCTTAAATTTAGGCACTAAAGTGGACATTACCGTATCGAAATCGTTCACTTCTTGAAACACACTTTTAGGGGGAAAAGGAACACAGAAGCTTAACTTCCCGTTACTTGAGTCTTCACTTCTTGCACACTTTTCCACCATTACATCAAGTTGTTTGAATGACTTCAACGTCGAACGAGGTACAGATTTTTCCCTAACGTACTCCCTCTCGAGGGGCTTGTGTTTTTTCTCCTCCATAATCGTCAGGTTTCGCACCCTAGTCGATCTACGATTTTCCAGCTTCAAAACCTCTTTTTTATCAGCAGGATTCATCAATTTCAAGTATCTACAAAGTTCCTTTTTCCGGCTCTCGGGGCTCTGGGGAGCATATCCATTACTTTCCACGTTTTCTTGCCCCTCGTGGGTTGAATCGTGGGCGTTATTGGCAACGGGTCGGGGAGGCTCACTTTTATGTCTTTGTCGATCAGTTTCATTATTCTCTTCAACATCGCTTTTGTCGGATTTGAAGTTTTTACGTGTTGAACCTGGCATATTTGATAACAGTACACTCTGTTCTTCCTTGAAGTATTTCAATAAAGAAGTTGAACGGTTGTAAGGATACAGCTTAGGGTAGTACGGTTGGACCTTTGCAGACTTTTTGAAATCGCATCTATAATAAAAAAAAAAAAAGCAATGATACTGGGAAGTAAACGTAGGCATGAACTTTCTCGTTAGTCTTAACAAGTAGGACAAGTCTTTTTTTTGATAAGTTAGATTATCAATATCTATTACCCCATAGAATTTAATCACCAAATTTTTCAACTGAAGCCATCTATCAGACAAAGTATACTAAAACTCATGGTAAATGAATACTTTATAGAATATGAATACATTTCTGAATTCGCCATTCAGTTGTAATCATCTTTTGACAGAATATAATTTGGTTGTTTCAAAACCAAATTTATGAGTCTACTTCAAGCTGTAATATCTCAGTAGATCCTTTCAAATGAATACATACCTTACTAAAATCAAGCTTTTAGAGTCAGCTTCCCCATCTTCGGTATTTTCAGGATTGACTGAGGTGGGAAAGGGGCACTTTGGCATGGCAATGTTTTTGATGTCTTTCATTACTTCATTCTCGACGTCTTTTTTATTGGCGTTCATCCAACTATTAGATAGAGAAGGCTTTGATTTATGACTGAACGGAGCACTTTTATCCCAAGACACTCTTCCACAGCAGCGGGAGTCAACTGATATCATGGCATCTTCAACTGATAATCTGGTATTATAAGTTAAATGTAAAAAATCCGATTCATTTCTTGTTGTCGAGCTGGAAATTGTAATCCTTGTTTCCATCAGCTCTTTCAGTTTGTAGAGTTTTTTAGCATATTTATCTTACTTTCTATAAATAAAAAACGATGCATTTTTTAGCGTCCTGATTTACCTAAAAAATTACGCTCGTCAAACATGAATATGTAAGTAAGTAATACTTACTTTTATTTAGATTTTAAATGAATTAATTATATGGCAATTCTCATATTTGTTGTATATTATCAGCAAATACAGGATAACAATGCTATAATGCTTCTTCTTCTAAAAAATTTGTTTGCTTAACTTATTACAAACAAAAAAATATATTGTGACTATTGTACCAATCGAAAGGATAGCCGATTTCCATTCAACTCTCCATTAAAAAAATTTGCAAGTACGTCACAACTACAGAACTCTCAAACTTATCTTAGGACTAGCAAGTAGAAATCATATCAAAGCAGCAATCGTCTTGACACCCGAAACTCTCGCGACGGACTATAAATTAAAAATTAATAATTTTTTTAGTGTCTGATTTACCTAAATAATAAAACTGGTCAAAGATGGATATGTAGGCAAATGGTATATTCTTGTGATGTTCTCTTTGGAACCTTTGGTGTAGTAATGCATATCACTATATTTTTTTTCAACATCAAACCGTTATTTTAATACCTCGGCACGTGTTTCGATCACCAAAAGTGATCATCTTCAAGAGGAAGATCAAACTAAGCATACTTACAAAGCTATCCTTATTTATATCATACATAGATACAGGTATCTACCTGTTGTAGATACCTGCGTATTGAGTGTCTTAAATTAATTTTACAATGTATCCTTATGTAATAGTTAAGTAAATCTTATAATTGAAATATTCTAAGCTATATAAAATTAATTTCACATATTGTCTTATCTACTTGTACTTATGATGAATTGTTTGGAACCTTTGGTGTAGTAATGAATATTACTGAAGTTTTTTCCCAACACCAAATCGTTATTTTTACACCTCGACACGTGTTTCGATCACCAAGTGTTCATCTTCAAGAGGAAGATAAAACTAGAAACTTCTCAAAACTATTACTACCTAGTTTTGAGAAGTTTCTAGTTTTACCTTCCTCTTGCAGATGATCACTTGGTGATCAAAACACGTGTCGAGGTGTAAAAATAACGATTTGGTGTTGGGAAAAAACTCCAGTTATATTATCTACATGTTTTAAATTAAATTTACAATGTGTCCTTATGTAATAGTTAGGTGAATCTAATGTATATGGTGTTTAATTTCATTTTGATTTTGAATGAATTATTACATGGAAATTTCCATATTTGTTGTATTGTATCAGAAAATTCAGAATCGCAAGGCTTGGGCTTTTTTTCAAAACAAAAAGAGATTCCTTACATCGTAACTATTGAACAATTGGAAGGATAGCTAATTTCCCATCCACTATCATGAAACATCTTCATGACCACAAGAACTCTTCTTCTTATTCTTTTTAATTCAATGGCCTCAGCAACTAAGGGTATTCGGCCAGTTAGTAAAACCACAGAACTCATATCTTAGTACTTGACAATAGAAACCATCGACATGGTTATGTCGATGGTAGAAGTAGAAACCATAATGAACTCGCATTTGTTTTGACGCCCGAATCGCTCTTGGTATGCCCTAGATAACTTTATAGTATTTTTTGAACTCGAGCGGGGACTAGACTTATCATTTTGGGTAGGCCCCAGTTGTCAGTGTTCATAGTTGGAAATGATGGGTAAAGACCACAGAACCTAAGTATATTTTGGATTTGCGTTGTTTTGTGCTGAAGTTTGTTTTTATCAGAAATTCACAGAGGCGCTAAGTGCACACAAATGTTCATATTTTGAAACGGTTTTTGTTCCATCTATCGGCTTGTGTACAAAGTTGGGTCAATCTCATTTTTGCGTCGAGATTTTGACAAAACAAAAGCGATGTGTTTGAACACCAGGGTTTCAAAGTATCTTTGATTTGGAAGTATTTACTATATTCATAGTTCAGTTATGAACTCCTTAACAAGTACAGAAAGTATTAATATTGATTGTTTGTTTGTTAGTATATATTTGTCAATATTGAGTGAATTGATTATTGAAACCTATAGTTATTCATTGGGTAAACACAATTTTTTAGTTACGAATTTTTGTTCAAGAACTGGATTTTAGTGTATGAAAGCATCAATACATTAAAAGTAATTATATTTTCTTCAACAGAAAAAATCACGATTGCTCATTCGTTTCACTGGAGAGAAATCACTAGCCATTGTAGTTCACAACATACAATTAGATGCGAAAGTTATCATTGATTCATATTTTTCGGATAAACCGACGACCTATCATGGATCTCTTCAATATTGGGAACAGCTCTAAATATCCCAAAGGGCAAAATCTGGTAAATACGGCGGCTGAGGCATGATTGTTGTTTTTGGCCAAAAATTTACTAACAAGTAATTCTCAACATTGATTAAGACGCGAAGATTTATTATTGATTCATATTTTTCGGATAATAAAGTGCCTAAAAAGCAATATCAAATCAAATTGAATCATGACGCCATCCTCTTTTCCAGCGAAAATTGGGAATATCTCAGTGCTTTTCATAAAAATATTGAAAATTTCAATCGAAAGAAAGTAGATGATTTTCAACATGAATTCACCAGAACCTATAGTGTAGGTGGTTGGGACAGATGAATGATTTGTTATTTCATTTCAATAAAAAACGGTTTTCAAGTTCTATTTTTCTTTTTTGTATGAGTCATAATATGATTTCTCAGGCAATGTTTTCTTTTGGTTTCGAAAGAGCATAAGGCACACTTGAACAGTTCCATCTTGGAGGCATCCATATGTTTGACCAAATGTTGATAGAGGTTACAGTGACGCTTAGCCTCGTATGGACAATGTGGGCATTTGAACATAACCAATTGGGAAGGTTGTTTGTGAACAACGAGGTGTCTTATTAAAAGTCGTTTCAGGTGCGTTTGGAATGGGCATGTGTAACATCTGAATACTTCACAGCTAGACAAATCGGGATGCTTTCTCCTCTTGTGCCTCGCCATATTCCATTTACACCTTGTTAAATGATGGCACATTTCACATCTGAGAACTATGGACGGATCTGTATGGTCTAAGGAATGCCGCCTCAGTTGATTCTTAAATACGGTTTCAAATGAACAGTTTGCAACTTTACACTTCAGAACTGTCCTCTCCTTTGGGTCTTTGTGCATCTCTTGATGTTTAACGAAACATTGTTTCATTGTCGTTATATATGAGCACTTATCACAGTGTATGAATTCAGTTACTTCATCATGTACCCTAGTAGTATGTGTTTGCAAGTATTTTTCTTGATTTGTTTGAAAAGAACACTTATCACACTTATAAACGTCATTCGAATGAACAGATGAATGACGTAAGAGATTTCTCATTGTTAGTAATTTTAGTCCGCAACCGGGAAAGTCACATTTGAAAGGTTTTTCTTTATGGACAACACGAGGTGTCGAGTGCAACAGTCTATGCTTATCAAAACCTCTCTTTGTTAGTAATCTCTTTTCACAATCGGGAAAGTCACACTTGAAAGGTTTTGAGTGTAACAGTTGATGGTTTATGAAACTGCTCTGGGTTGTTAATTTTTTTTTACAACCGGGAAAATTACATGCGAAAGGTTTGTCTTTATGGGCGATACGAGGTTTTGAGTGCAACACTTTGTGATTATTGATTTCCGATTCATAAGGAGTTTTGAATGAACATTTCATACATTGGAAAATAACTTTTCTGTTGTAGTCTTCTTCATCAGGAATTGAACCAACATTGATTTCTCCCTTCAAATGGCTCAGTTCAGGATTAGTTCTGAAAAAAAATTAGATTCATTGTCTGTAGCGAGAGTTATCTCCAAAAATCCTGATGCTAATGATCAAAACAGAATTTTTCAATAGTACATTCACTAACAAAGTCATTTTGACATAACTTCAATTTTAATTGTTAACACTGACATTATATTATCACATGCTCAACAAAAAATCTCAAATAGAGAGAGAGAGAAAGGGAGAAACTTACTTACAGGCAATACTAAATTACAAATATTCTTTAAAAAAATCAGAAGTAAAACTATCCCTCTCACATAAATCTGAAAAGTATCTAAGTTATCGACTCATAACTTAATAGTTACATCATCATATGCTTTATATTTCAATCATAAAATGATAATACAAAAATTCTATTACTCAGGATGAATTAATCAAGTCTGATTTCCAATTCTGTAATAAATTAAGATGCTTTAACTTGTGAAATTTACAATTTTGCAAAGTGTTTTTATATTATTGTGCTCTTGTTGGGTATTAATAAATCAAATTTTTGAAATGAGAAAGGAAGAAAAGTAACCCCACTTTCACATTCCGCCGCAGTAAAAATGTGGTTGTAAAGTAATGGTGGATACCATGAATTTTAGCTATTCAATATATGTCCAAAGCTAATTATCGAGATACGTGAAAACTTTTATACAAAGAATTTGGAATTCCAACAATAATGGCAATATATATTTTAGAAACTGTACATAACTCCACTAGACAAAAACAAAATATCAATAGCTACAAAAACAACTCCCATTCTGATGATGTGCGACATACCTAAGGAGTTCATTTTGCAGTACCTGGGAGCATCCTTCATTTTTCACTTGACACTCGTCAATAACCTCTCCCTTCAATTCTTGATAAGATTCATCAATTTCATTTTTTATATCAGCTACTTTTATTTCTTCCTCTACAGCACTTCTATCCTGATCAGGAGTTTGAAATGATAGGTGACTTTCTTTAAGCACAGGCAATTCTTCTATACTTCCTTCATTGAAATAGTCTATATTTTCGTTTTTTATCACTTGCCCAACTGTTGCTTCCGCACTTATTTTTGAATTCTTGTAAGAATCCATATTTATAATTCCTTCATTGAAATATTCAGTAACTTCCATGGGTTCTTTTTTGAAATACTTCTGAGAATTGAAATCAGAACCAGTATTTTGTGATAGTGGAAGAAAATTCATTTCAGACATTTTATTGATCTTGACTGTAGCCTGTTCTAAGGTTTATAGATTCCCTACGATTTAAGTGAAGTTAAAAGATCCTGTGTTTTGATTGCTGATAATCTGAAATTAAATAATCTCGATAAAGTATTATGAGATGAGACTAGAGACTATTGCAATTAGGTTATGTTATACTCATAACCGCCTCTTTTATGTTGGTAACAATGTTGCTCTGCTCCAAAGACATTAAATAATATGGTCACCGTGTAGACGTGTTTACTTCTTAGACAAGAGCTGTATGGTTGTTGCCAACCTTAAAATTGTACAACTTTTGGTAAAATTGCACATGAGGGCACAAAACATGAAGTGTCTTACAACAGTTGCTACTTGGTTTCAATGTTTAGGACGGGAAAACTCGACAGTTGTATTGTTATATAATAATCTATTTACTACAAAAGCGTAGAAGAGCCACAAAAATCAATAATTATTTATCCGCAATTCACACTCGTAACTGTGAATTCACAGTTACAACTCTAAATTGAAAACTTTTCAGCTATAACTGTGTACAGTTATGAGTGTGAATTCTCAGTTAAAACTGTAAATTATCAAATTCACAGGTATAATTCTAAATTAGGTCAAGCTTCCGTAGAAAGCAACTTCTTCACATCTACACTTTTCACTCGACATAACAGATGTCAGTTAATGAAAACAAAATCTAATAATTTGTAACCTAACCCAACCAAAGCTATATTTAATTAACGATTTTTGATACATGAAATGTTTTCCAAGATCTAGTCGCACTAGTTGAATCTAACTTCGAATAGATTAAGGTGGTAGCGGGTAGGGGGGGGTGTTGTGAAAAGTAAATACGAGAGTTAGTGGAGAGGGAGAGGGTAACGTGCGATTTAATGTGTCAGAAGGACAACGAGTTTCGTTAAGCAAGTTACCATCATCAGTAGAAGTTGAACATGAATTCAAATAGGGTGTCGTTTGAGAAAGAACGGTACCTATTTAACATTTCAACGTTCGTTTCCCTTCGTATACAGCGTGGATTATTGAAAGCGGTATTCAAAATGTTCTGGTCTCCACGTTGGCTAATACTTAAAGCGATTTAAATTGTCAAACAAAACACATTTCTAGAAATATTTCCATATAAAGAGTGCTTATCTCACGAGTATTGATAAGATAATTACAATATACAATGCATAAATAATAAAAGCTCACTTACCTTAAATTTACCTTTGTACTTGTCACTGTGAACAGAAAACTACACACATTCAGAAGAAAACCAGAAACAAAATGAATCTCAATATTTCTCAACAATAGGAAGTTACTTGAGATAACGCGACAGCCTACGGAATTTTAATCAAATTGAATAAACGTAATAAATATTGCAGATACGGTTTAGGAAAATGGTCCTGTGGAAATATATGGTCAGGCATCAGGATGATGTATGAAACAATGTGTATATGGTGTGGCAAAAATACATTATTTGGAAAAAACATGACAGTTCAATGGCGCCCAACGTTTCAACGTGCGATCCCTCAATGTTACAGGGTGTATCAAAATACACATAGAGTGTCGTTTGAGAAAGAAAAGAACGGTATTTAGCGTTTCAACGTGCGATTCTCTTCGTTTATAATGTGGCTCATTTGAAGCGCACTAACATTCTGTAATTTATGGCGTTTTGGTAACCAAGTTGGTTTATTTTATTGAGTCGAAATTTATCAATTGTGAGACACCGTAGTTCACGCATATGCCCTTTACCTTGCAAACGATTGTTTTCCAGTACTCCCAAAATTGTAATTTCACAGAATTGGCTGATCCAATCCTTTAAAATGAAAAAATTGTTGGATAGATACTTGAAAAGCCTATCAAATAAAATATTTCAAGACCCTTACAGCGCCTTTGGTCAGTTATTAGCATCGTCAGGAGATGTCTATGATTGAACAATTTCAGATGTGTGTGAATATAACAGAAAACATTTACAGGGTGTCTTAAAATACATTGTTTAGGCGAAATACATGATAGTTCAACGATGGAGTGATCTAACGTTTCCACGTACGATTTCAAACAATCGTTATGGCTTCCGTGAATGGAAAAACAACATTCGGTCGCATGTATGAGAAAGATTAGTTTGAACAAATTTTGAAACACTCTTCGCGTCTTCTTATTTTTTCACAAATTCTACCCCGAATATGATTTTCGAAACACACTCGACCTCGAAAAGATCTTTTGCATGACAAGGACAAGCCGGTGAAGATTGACACGAAACACTAGTACCGCCGCACCGATGGTTTTTCTTATGATCGAAGGAACATGATATTCTTCACAGTAATAATGACAGCAAAAGGATGCAGTTAGGAAAGTGAAACATTATTATGACACTCATGAGACAACAAGTTCAACGAGGCTACAACACAGACACCTTTGAAAAACAAATCACGACTCTTGGTACCGTATTGATAAACAGTTATTTTATATGCAGAGAGCCCTTTGGGTGTGCAATTTCCTGATGTTCTGCCGTACATCGTTACATATTTGACATTGACATTTTTGACATTTTGTTGTATATGATTTTTGATCCTCCATAGAATGTGTTTGAAAATTAAGTGGATTAGTCAATGTTTGATCGCGAAGACCATATATTTTATTTTGTTTTGAAAGCAGAATAAGAAACATCGTAAGATATTTATTTTGGTATTTGATATCACAAATGAAACAATATTATTATACCACTATGATATATGACATTTACATAAAAATATATTTGTTTATATACAACACAGATGGATGTTTTTTAACCATATGAGGAACTTTATCAAAATGCCCAGGTGCCCATACAGGTTAAAAAGCGGCGTATTTACATTATTTTACATTATATATAACATTTATAAAAATGTTGGCATATCTTCACAAATTAATCACAAAAAGCTTTTATATTAGACATTCCCTCAGACACTGTTACCAAACCAAAAAAACTTTTGAATCCATATTTCCTTTCAAATGTGATCACAGAACTCATAAATTTTAGTTAATGTTCTGTGAAAGTATTATTACAGCATAAGTAATAATACCACAGCATAAAAGTGTGGTATTATTCTCAAAAGTTGGCCACCGACTCTTTTTTTGATTGCTCTCTCGCATTTTGAATTATTGTAAAATCAGATAGATATCTTATTTTGAATAATGAGAATGACGATAGAATTTCGAAATGAGAAAAGGTTTACAATTCAAGAAGGTAGGGATATATAATTTTTTGTCGATCATGTTAGCATTAGAAGATGATTATAAGGATCGTACTGAATCATACTAGATTTTAGCAAATAATAATGGCGTGTATATTCAGTTTACATATTTACCTCTATTCTTTACCAGATAAATATCATTTTCAGATTTAGGTACTGAAACCTGCCTGAAGAATGGTTAATAGAAGCCTTTTTGTGAATATTTGCTCACAGATAGTCTAGAAACGTATCAAAATAATTTTTCGTCTTTTATACAATTTCTGGTCTCAATGTCTCCCACAACCTACTATTCGCTATAGTGAGGGAAAAATACGTTCCATTGCTGTCTTGGATTCTAAAAGGAAGATACGAGTCAGTTTATGGTTCATCCCTGCTTTTCCACCTCCAGATATGTTCCAAAACAGAATTCAACTTTCCGCGCCATTTCTCAAGCTCCTCTATTGTGTCAGTGCACGCGAAGAACTGATCGTTTCCTTCAAAGTGGAGGGCAAAGCACTTCGGTTGAACGATGGTTCCTTCCCTGTCTGGTTCCACCTGCAGGCGCCTTACGAAATGCAGGTCAACATGTTTTAGCGGCTCGACTGTGCCCTCTTCGTACTTGTAATTCCAGTAGCTCAGGATGGATCCGTTCAAAACACACCATTTGCGCTTCCAGATAAACTGATCTGTTTGGTTTTCCAAGACCGACAGATATCCTTTTTTCTTTATCGGAATGATCAGAGAGGTTTCCAAGTCTGCTTCAAACGTACTTGATATCGAAGCTCCTGGTCTTATGTTCAACAGCTGAAAAGTGGTTTTGGTCTTATATGACGGTTTTAAATCAGCTTGTCCCCACAGGAAGAAAAACGTATGCTCTGGGGCGTTTGATAAACTCGATGGGCCGACTTTCAAGACTGAATTTTCCTTATTCTTCTGAAAAAGAAAATCATTGTTCATTTGATTTAATTGTCTTATAATAATCAATATATTCAAGTAACTTTTCATTGTGATATTTTCAAAAAATGGTTTACAGAACCGGAACACAATCTTTTTGAAGTTTCACTTCAACTTTTCGAAGATTCTGTAGCTTTCTACTGTACAGCAGTTTTCTCACAGCCTCTTAACTTAAGACTCTTGAGAAATGACCCCTAATAGCCCCCTAACGACCCTGAAAGATGTATTTTGACCATGCGTGTTCATACTGTATGTATGCTAATTACAGCACATTTGCCTCGTCAATCCATTTGAATTCCAGAACATTTGCTGCGGATGTACATTTTCACCAGCAGCAGGAGGTTGCTTATCTCAATAAGGATCTAGAAGTAATTATGAATTGGAATGAAAGTAACCATTTTCAATTCAATACCACAAAAACCCAGGTATCGGTTTTCTCCAAGAAGATGCCTCCGACCCGCAGAGTAACAAAAGACAATGGAGAGGCCTTTTCCATCCTTACATTGAAGGCAGCATAACTTTGTTTGTTTACGGGAAGTAAGTTGGACCATAAAACAGTGGCTCTTGGTTTAGTTGATAATTGTCATATTATTACTCTGAGCTCCGAACCGGATATAATAATGACAGGACAGACAATTCCGCTTTCTGTTTCGATAAGTTTGTTGGGGGTTTAAATGAATACAAATTGTTAATTTGGCAACATTGGCACAATCATGTCGCTGGAACTGTCGAGCTTCTCAAAAGCTTGGAACGCTGTTCCGAACCAGAAAACTGTACACACCTCAGCAACTTTTGATGATTTGTATAGCTCAGATCAGACCTTCTTTGGAGTATTGTTCTCATGTATGGAGCATACACTGAAGCTACTGGATTGCAACCTTGATAGTCTGGAAAATCGAAGAAAGGTTGGAGATTTGTCTCTCTTCTATAGATACTTTCACGGGAAGTGTTCAAGTGACCTGGCACATTTGATTCCACCAAGAGCGGTACATATCAGAAATACGCGACGGACTGTGGCTGCTCATCATCGTTTTGAGGTTCAACTCAGTATACCTTGAACTTCACTGTTTCAAAAACTCTTCCATTTTGAGAACGGCGTTTATGTGGAATAAACTTCCTGAGAACGTTTTTCCAAATGGATTTAATCTCCGGCGATTCAAATCCAATGTGAATCGCTACTTTTGCACAGAGCGCCTTAAGTGTATTTTCCTGTAGTGGAATATTGAGTAGAAATATTGATACTTAATCCGTTTTTTCTTCTCTTTTTGGGCGATATTCGCTTCACCCGGAGCGGAAAACTCCACTGGGAATGTGGTCCTACCTTGATAGTTTAGGTGGACTAAATCAGTTGCAGGGTGCGTCTGAGATCTTAATGTACTTACTGTTGGCATGTTCAGCATCTGTGGTCTCGGTCTATATCTACCGACATAACTCTTTACGGTATTGACGAGAACACTGGTGTTGCCTCATATGCTTCAGAGAAAATTGAATCTGTTGTGAGGAACGAGAAGCGCTAAATTTATTGGAATTACTCGTTTCTCACCCTCAGGCTCATACAAGCTAATGAGTATGGGCAAGACGATATTAGTCGTGGAGTTTTTAGCTCCGGGTGTGACAAAAATTGTCCGAAAAGATAAGGAAAAGCGGATGAAATACCGAGATTATCTGTTCAAACCCCACAAACTCTATTCAGACCACTCTGTTAAGATGGTTGTTCTGATTATTTTAGTTTCCTTTCGAATCTCAAAATCATGCCGGTTCACCGCACTGACGCAGAAACCTGTTATGTTTGTCTCATTGCGTCTGCTTAGGGTACATGATTCTCGGACCCAATGGTCACCTACTCGACGGTATGGGGAGTGGTCAGTAGATCACCAAAGCCGATTCTATTACACCAGCCAATGAGAGCTTAGCAATTTATCACATGACCAGTTTGTTCGGTTGCTTACGCTATCGGTGCGGTTGGGTTGGGTTAGGTGGTTAGGTTAGTTTAGGTTAGGTTAGGTTAGCTCAGGTTCGGTTCGGTTAGATTCTGTTAGACCCAACCCAACCGCACCGATAACGTAACCAACCGAACAAACTGGTCATGTGACAAATTGCTTCGCACTCATTGGCTGGTGTAATAGAATCGGCTTTGGTGATCTACTGTGGTAACTGGTTGATGATGCATGCTCGCTCTCTCAAATGTATCCCAGCTTCGGAAATAGAATGCAACCGGCTAGTACATCATTTCTACAATATCTTAATGAAAAGTTTAGGACTTATACGAGTATCTACTTCTATTACCAGAACCTTCAACTTACCTTTTTTCGATTTTTCAACGCCAACGCATATAATTGTAATTTGACAATACATTCGCCTTGTGAATGTCCCTTGAAATGGAAGGAGTTCGGGAAGTGAATATTTTTTCCTTCTGCTTTCACCATTTCGCTAGCCATAACTTCATTATCCGTTTCCAGAACGCAAATGAAAAACCAAGAACGCTTTTTAGATTTCCTACTTTTCCATCGTCCTTCTCTGACGAACTTCAAATTTCTCAACGTTACCGAAAGGTCCATTTCGGATGTTGCGGCTGGAGAATCTGTAGAATCTCTCATTGATTCTAATAGTTCGAGCAGCTGTTTTTTGCAAGCTAAAATGAGACAAAAATAAATTAGTGATTATAAGCGACTGAAATATTTCCACAAGAATTTTTATCAATTTCAGAAGTGAGGACGTTACAATGGTGGCAATGAATTCAAGAAGTAAGTATATATTTTTAGTACGAATGGGTTGCACAACACTTGGCCTTATATACGAATATAAGGAAGCGGTAGTTGCAGAAATGGAGTAAACTTGAAAATTCTTTCTGGCGCAGAGTCTACAGAGGAGATGGATGTCGAGCTTACGATTCCAACTAACCTCCCTGTAAATTTAGATCAGGATCGTGTCTACAGAGGAGATGAAAGTCGAGCTTACGACTCCAACTGACCTTTCGGTGAATTTAGATCAGTAGCGAGAACTTCTCAACTCTCCGACTCCTGATCCAATAACTGAACCTAAAAAAATGTTTGGTGGTGCAGCCACGAAACGACTGAGTCGTCTCCTCAATAGCGGGGTACCTTATGAAACCGCCCTGCACCAAATTCTCGAGCGGCGTACGCAGAATCTGTTTCAAGAGGAGGGACAAACCCCCCAAGGGTAGCAAACGTTTGCGCTCAAGTGGTGGGTGGTTGGGGCAGAACTGACCCCCTAGAGGATCAACTTTTCGTCACACGTGACTATCCGATCCAAAAAAGGATCGTTTTGGTTACGCAAAAGCAAAGAAGAGCAGACCTCGAAACGTGATAATCGTGGGCACCCTCTTTTCGAGCTTATTGCCTTTTCCAATACGTTATTAACCATCAAAAACCGCATGGGAGCTGACGCCAATCCCATGAACCATTTGTGATGGACAGTCTCCACCATGGTCATCAATACACACAAATACCAGAATAAGAACTCTAACCACCAAGCATGACAAAAAGGGAGGTAATTGAAACATCGGTTGAAAGAGTCCTACGGGTCTGTGAACCTCAAGAGGAACTCATTCAGCTAAAAAATGGGCACAGCGAAGTAGAATTTGAATGGTCTATACGACCCAGAATAAGAAAGTCAAAGGAACTTCAGCTATGCCCGTTGAATAAAAGCTTTCCTTCTTTATGTTAAAAATGTTATAGATCGGATTGGGAGAGTTTTAGACAAACACGACGTGAAACCAATATTTAGGCCAATGAAAACTACCAGAGAGTCTCTAGTCAGCTGAGGACTTCATAGAGCTTTTAGTAACGCCCGGAGTGTACCGGATCCCTTTTAGTAGCGGGACGGTCCACATTGGATCCATAAGATGTATAGTTACCCGTCTCTCTAAACTCAAAAGAAATTGTCACCTCGGGCAAACCAAGAAATTAGCTGTTGTCAAACTTGTTCTCAAAGAAGGAAGTTATATTATTTTCGTCGAAGATATACGAACTTGAAAGTACTATCTATGAATATATAGAGGCAATAGAAAGTCAGCACTTCGGCCAATACATCATCGTCTTTGATAATGTCTAACGCAGTAGTAGACGAAACGTCAGGCATAAAAACCCTCAGACTACGTTCGAAAAATCCGAAAAATATTTTTGACCAAGAAAATTATACTATACAATATGAGGTTTCATTGCTATATGTATTGACGACGCATGTGTAATGATAATTTGCCTCAATTGTTTGAAATCTTTATAACTATTCTTTGTTTTCAAGTCTATCACTATTGGATATTTTTCATAACATTGTTACGCCGAAGTAAAATCTATTATGTTTTCATATTTCTATTATTCTGATTACTCAGTTGGTGTTTACTGTTTTCAAGTATATTTTGAGAGCTTATGCAACAGTGTCATTGACATTTACATCAAATCTAGGTCATACATAGTCTAGACTCAACACTTCGGGTTTTAGTTTAGACAATATTTCTTAGTCTGATTGCATTACGGTTTCTGAAAATTGTTGTAAATGTACAGTTATGAAATCCTTAAGTTTATTACTAAATTATCAAAATTTTAGTACGAGAATAAAATATCGAGTGGCAACACTGTTTCAAATACTGGCACAATACTGATGGGGAGAAATTCTTATCGATGATTGCTCTACCCGCTATCAAAAAAGCTAACCACTGATTGGAGTTTCATAATGTTAAGCGGCCTATAGACGTGCAATATTATTGCGCAATTTGGGTTGCACAATATTTTGACGGCGGCCCTAGACCGTCAATATCATTGTACCATATTTTGGTTTGTACAAAAGATTGTACCGTATAGAGGCGATATTGGAGGTTATGCAATATGTTACACAATTGTGAGCACAGACAACAACCACATTGTGCAAATAACAGTCCCTACCGGAATTTCATGAAGTCAACATGTTAAGTTGTGAAGATTTGTGTTGCGTGTAGAAAATGGACCAAACAGTGGTTTATTTATAGGGAGAAGTACACCCACGACAAGCTACTCAACGCATTGAGAGTACTTGAACCAAATGATTTCCGCAACTTTATACGAATGTTTTTCAGCTTTCTTGTCACTCATATTTGCTATGAGATTACTAGTTCAGACGACCGCAGGAACCCACTGAGAGGTTATTGTGCAATATTGCCAACATACGGCACAATATTATCCTGTTTGTACAATATATTTTCAAGAATTTGAAAATCACATAATATATTGCACAACCTTTGAATATTGCCCCTAGACGAACAATTATATTGCACAAACCAAAATATTGCGCAATAATATCGCACATCTATAGGCCACTTTAGACAATGGTTATGTTTATTGTCTTAGGTTTTTTGTGTTTTGAGTTATTTAATTGTGAATTTGTGAGAGTGAGGTTGTAGTTCGTTTATTATAGACATGATAAGCTTATTAATAGGTAAAATGAATTACTTTCGCTCAAGAGAAGCACAAGAAACCACTGACAGATGACAGGACTTTTGTTTTACCATCTGGCTTAGTTTCAATATGTCCGGTAGATGTCGTATCTAATCTTTGAAGTTCTCAATTCAGTACACACATGATACTCACCGGCAACAAGCATAATTTTTTCGGCTTCTGCATGTACCGAAGGATCGACAAGCTTTGGATGACTTCTACAGATTGATAGAGCTCGAGATATTTGGTGGATGACATGCCGCTGAAAATCTATTCCCTCGTCCACGACAAACTTCTTTTTCGCCAGCGCTAGATTGGGTGCACTGTCGTATTCCGGGACAGAGACGTAGGTGGAAGAGTCGCAGGTAGAGGTTGAATTGAAAAGGTGTCTCCTTCCTAAGCCCCTCCTGCTGCACTGGCTGAATCTTTCCGAGCAGGACATTAGAGCAGAAATGTTACTGCTTCCGACGCTGAATTCCGGTCCATAGGAAGGGAACGATTTCGAGCGGGCGGGTGAACTGTAATATGGATCCTGCAATAACGATGAGAGAGTCGTTGAATTAGTACATTCATGACAAGGAGTTTTATGGAATTATCTGCGAGAACAATTCGTTTAGACCAATTTCAACTTACCTACACTTTAGGTTATTGGACTGACACCTATCGGAAAACAACTACATGATATATAAATTATACAGTGTATGGAAAATTCAAATAAACCCAACAGACAGAATGTGCGCATGTTGTAGGCATATAAATATCTGTTTTTGACCCGTGGGTTGGGCTACCTATCGGGCGCGTCCCCAGGTAGCGGATAGGGGAACCACCAGGTGACTGGGAACCCTGTCCGGGAAGCCAATGTGGCCTTATGGACGGGGTCGCCGGACTCCTGGTCAGTGGAAGAAATAAGAAGGGTGAGAGGAACAAAAACTCCCCAAAAGTATCTGCGACACATGCCACCGTGGACCAGCCTACCCAAGCTAAGGTGTGAGGAATCGTGCCGACAGCTGAATGGCCGCAGGGTGATGCGGTTACGAACGATCCCTTCGGGGAATCGGGCGAAACCTCATTGTAATCAGCCTTCTTCTGGTAATGCGGGGCTCTTCCAGAGGTGACCAACTCTTCCCTTGCTACTCGTGGGAACACACCTATATAAAGAAAACAGACACAACAAAAACCAATCCCAAGGCTGGACAGAAGAGCTCATCTCAATCTATGACGGTGGCTGGGGATGAACAGAAATGTCTATTAGCTATAACCGATGTTGCCAAATGGTGAAATAGAAACGAATCCCTTTAAATGTTGAATGCATTATTTCATTCTTCTTTTTTAAGTATTCAAATAATTTTTTAAAGAAAAAGGCTGAAATGATAAGTTTAAAATGCGTTGTTTTAGGGCTCTTTTATGAAAACTACTTGTTTTTCGTCGGGAGGAACATTCCGCAATAGTGGTATTTCTATATCACCATAGCAGAGAGAGCTAGGTTAGGCTTCAAAATGAATGGCTCAACTTTGAGCGAGACAGAGTCCGATTTTTGTTACGGTGCATATGCAATTTACGAATTAAGCGATATCAAGGTCTAAGCCACGGAGAACAAGACCGTAAATGTATAACGTCACTCAGATAACCATCCAAGAAGCTCAAAATAGTTCCCGTGCCTCCCCCAAAAAAGTGACTTTTCCATTAACTAGTTGTCTATCACACTCACCTCATCTGACGTCTCAATGGCATTACGACTCAGAGCACTATTAGTTTGACTCAGCCCACTATCGCTGCTCTCTCTCTGTGAATGGAAGATGACGAAATCGACTTCCTCATACAAGTTTTCTTTCTCCAGCTCGTCTTCTTCGAAATACCCTTCAGAAACCAGCCGAGGCCTGAACCTCTTCCCTTTGAGCTTCTGTTGATCAAATTTGCGCCAAGCTTCCTTGAACCTGCTTTTAACGAGCTCATATACCACCGAACCAATGCCGGATTCAGTCTTAGAGAGTGGTCTGTAGTTTAGGGATCGGTACCATCTGGATGGTACCAGACAAAGAGGACCACTCAGGATGGATTCTGATCTCGGATACCGGATCAATCGGTTTTTAACAAGGGGAGAGGGTCTCATAGTTCTGGTTTCCTGTCGTTCTTCTTTCCTAGAAATCTTTTTACATTCCTCCTTCACTACGTCTAGAGATTCATTATTGTCATTGTCAACGTGGATTGGCTGTTCTTTATGTCCTTCTCTAGACCAGTCTAAACATTGCGTCGGCATGTTTATGGTTGTTTCCTTTCCATATTCCTCGTACACAGATTTTTGATATACTTTATCGGAACCTTTATCTTCTGCTGATGGTCCTTCAAGTTCCCGCTGATTCTCTTTCGTAACTATAGGTTCCTCTTCAAGTTTACTGAACACAGTTGGTTGTTGACCTTCTTTCTTGCTAGTAACAGATAGTTTTGCCAATTTCTTCTGTCGGGGTGCTTCAACTTTTCTGAATTCTTCAACATCGCAGCCGAGGCTTTCGTAAAATCTCACCAAAGCAGCTACTCTCTTGCCATATTCTGTGGAGGCTTTGGCCAAACTGGCGCTCCATTTTGAAGCTGGAGTATGGCTAAACATTAGCATTTCCTTCTCTTTCAAAGCCAAGCTAACTCCATCTTCATCAGTCTCTTTTAGTGCTACCGAGCACCATTCTTTGGTACTCATGAACTGAGTTTTCCAATTGATAATATATTCCGGGAAGTGTAGAGGATACGAAGAACGAAAATACTTTAGGAAGGTATTTGAAAAGTTCGAAAATGTCTCTCTGTTATCGTCATCAACAAGATTCACATAATTATTTCCTGCATTTTTAAAAATAACTAATTCATCCGGTGGACTTTCTTCTTCTCTCTCCTGACTACTAAATTCTTCATTGCTTTGTTCCACTACTTCTATGAAGTTTTCGTGAAACTTTTCATTGAAATGTTTCCACGACTCTTCAATTTGTTCGTATATATGTTCAGAACTATCTCGCTCTTCCTCAACATTTATTTTTGATTTAGATGTTTTTCTGTGTTTCGCACATTGCTTCAATAAATCCGGCAATCGGAAACTTGGTGCTGAAATGAAAAAAAATTATATCATTATTTTTTGAAATTTCGAATAATACAGTTAAAGGAGTAAAACACATGTGTTTGAGATACATATTTTCAGAACCATATTTTTTTTGTAGAAGTAGATCATGACTGTACCATTCATCTAATTGAGTTCTTCGAAAGAAATTTTTCATCCTAATGAACCAAGTTATGTAATAAGTTATGTTATAACGGATATTCCGCTTTCAAATTTTAATAATCCAGAAAACTTTTGTTGAAATATCCTTATTTAATGTAAAAAAGAACGTAGAAAACCATACAGTAAACTTCCATGAAAAAGCTATTGCCGTAATTCCCAAGTCTATGATGTTCATGAAATTACAGGGTTATATTTTCCTGTGAAAGAATAAAGTTCTTTCCCAAAATCTTTTATTACCCGCCAGGTTTTATGGGGCTTATGGATAATTATTGCAGACAACTATTTTTAAATTAATCCCTCGAAAATCTGAAGACAATAAACAATCTTTACCTGTCGCGTCAAAGATGAGATAATCCTTAGCGGTGTTTACAACTATGAGATTCGTCTAATGTCACTCTTCATGTTTTTTGAAACAATTAGTACTTCTCAAGATGTCAAAAATTTTGATATTTTCGAAGATTCAGTGAACTGCGTAGTGATCATCCATTCATAAATGAATTCAATAAAACCGCCGACGAAACATTCAAAGAGTTGCTAGACTTAGATGGTATCAAGACGGTCTCTTATTCTTTGGCCTATTCTCACATGGCTCAAAATATACTAATGTGGGGTACTTCTGCTGGCGCAAGACGTGTATTTATTCTACAAAAAAGAATCATAAGAATCATATTTGACATTACACCGAGTATTAGCTGTAGAGCTTTATCCTCAAAACATAAAATATTAACTTTACCCTGTATCTATATTTATAAAGCTCTGCTTTATGTGACATACAACATAGTTCACTTCAATCACGAGTCAGTCACTCATAATTATGCAACACGAACTAAACACTTTACTATCCCAAAACACAAAACTTCGACATTCAAGGAATCTCTGACTAACAATATTGTTAGTCAGGTAAATGCGCAACTTTGCCCCAATTCAACCATCTTCGTATCTCTCATAGTTTCCGAGATCCCAATAGTGAGGATCGAATTTGAAACACCCTGTATATTCACGCAACCAAAGTGACATCTTTAGGAGGCAACTAAAGTCAAGCGTATATCGTGCCGGAGACCATATTACTGATAATATTCAGCCTTTTCTTTTTCAGGGAAGCTCTTGAGGTACAAGTCTCCAAAAACAAATTATAGTCCAGTCATCTCAATAAGTTCACCTCGGAATTTGAGGTATCCAGTTATAAACTTGTATAAACTTGTTTTTTGACATCCTGAAACGTGTTTCGAAATCTACGTATGGTAGGATGTACGCGACTATCAAAATCTAAGGTGAAAAGTTACAAAAATCGAATTTTTGCAAGTATCTCATTTCCTATGAGGTTTTCGCTATTTGTACTCATTATCAAAACTAGAGCAGAGGTTCCCAAACTTCCATTTATCATAAAGCACTTTCAAAATTTTGCTGGTTCCGGTGGACCCCCTTGCAGCTACATTTCTACCATATTTGCAAAAATTGATGAAAAATGTGAGAATTAGATCTATACAGGCACTGTTACCGCGAGACTTTCCGAACCGTCTTGAATTTTGCAATTGGATGCTGGAAATGATTAGAAGAAATTGTGACTTTCTGAAGACGATAGAATTCACAGACGAATGTAGTTTTTCTCGAAACAAGATTATTAATTTTCATTATTACCACATATGAGCTGATGAAAACCCTCACGCTATTGTCGAAACTAACCATCAAGAACAGTTTTCTCTTAACGTGTGGCTCGGAGTTAATGGGGATGATTTAATTGAGCCTCATTTTCTACCTCCTCGATTAAATGGTGCTGAGGCATTCGTTCAATTTTTTAAGGAAGTGCATCCAGTACTGTGGAGGAAGTTCCTTTGGACGTCAGAAGGGATATCATTTTCGTGCATGATGAGGCTCCCGCCCATTTTAGTCAAGTAGCACGTCAGCATTTAACTGAAACATATGCAAATCAGAGGATAGGTCGAGGAGGACTACATAACTGGCCCGCTTGATCCCCGGATCTCAATCCTCTCGATTTCTCTATTTGGGGCCATTTACAGCATTTGGTTTATCGTACTCCTGTTCGCGATGTTGAGGACTTAAGAAACCGCATCATCGATGCGTGCAGGGTAATCAGAGAGACTCCAGGAATATTTGAGCGAATACGTGGCTCAATGCGCCGACGTCTGGACGCATGCGTATGATAACTTATGATACATCATTGAAAAGGTAAAATCTGGTTCTATTCAAAACAGAAAGAATCCAATGCAGCGCCCATAGACGACGAAACGTCGGATAGCAAATCTGAAAACACCATTATGTAGCAGGAAAAAAGTGGCAATGTGGGAGTGCCATTTATTTTCGAATCCTCCGAAAAATAGAGCCAGAAAAAAATAAAAACCATTTTCCGAAATTCCTGTTTTTCCGGATATCTCCGGATATACTCGCAATTTCAGAACTTTCCTAACGGCATATTGTTAGTCAGGTAAATGCGCAACTTTGCCCCAATTTAACCATCTTCGTATCTCTCATAGTTTCCGAGATCCCAATGGTGAGGATCGAATTTGAAACACCCTGTATATTCACGCAACAAAAGTGACATCTTTGGGAGGCAACTAAAGTCGAGCGTATATCGTGCCGGAGACCACATTACTGAGAATATTCAGCCTTTTCATTTTCAGGGAAGCTCTTGAGGTACAAGTCTCCAAAAACAAATTATAGTCCAGTCATCTTAATAAGTTCACCTCGGAATTTGAGGTATCCAGTTATAAACTCGTATAAACTTGTTTTTTGACATCCTGAAAGGTGTTTCGAAATCTACATATGGTAGAATGTACGCGACTATCAAAATCAAAGGTGAAAAGTTACAAAAATCGATTTTTTGCAAGTATCTCATTTCCTATGAGGTTTTCGCTATTTGTACTCATTATCAAAACTAGAGCAGAGGTTCCCAAACTTCCATTTATCATAATTTCAAAATTTCACTTTCAAAATTTTGCTGGTTCCGGTGGACCCCCTTGCAGCTACATTTCTACCATATTTGCAAAAATTGATGAAAAATGTGAGAATTAGATCTAATCATCGAAATTTGCGTTGCGGTGGCACAATACTGATGGGGAGAAATTCTTATCGATGATTGCTCTACCCGCTATCAAAAAAGCTAACCACTGATTGGAGTTTCATAATGTTAAGCGGCCTATAGACGTGCAATATTATTGCGCAATTTGGGTTGCACAATATTTTGACGGCGGCCCTAGACCGTCAATATCATTGTACCATATTTTGGTTTGTACAAAAGATTGTACCGTATAGAGGCGATATTGAAGGTTATGCAATATGTTACACAATTGTGAGCACAGACAACAACCACATTGTGCAAATAACAGTCCCTACCGGAATTTCATGATGTCAACATGTTAAGTTGTGAAGATTTGTGTTGCGTGTAGAAAATGGGCTAAACAGTGGTTTATTTATAGGGAGAAGTACACCCACGACAAATTACTCAATGCATTGAGAGTACTTGCACCAAATGATTTCGGCAACTTTGTACGAATGTTTTTCAGCTTTCTTGTCACTCATATTTGCTTTGAGATTCAGACGACCGCAGGAACCCACTGAGAGGTTATTGCGCAATATTGACAACATACGGCACAATATTATCCTGTTTGTACAATATATTTTCAAGANTTTCCATAGAAAATACTTTTTTACTGAGAATGAAATTAAATTGATAAATGTAGCCGTTACTACGTGGTAGGAAATCATCTCTCTTTTATTCATGAGAATGAAATTTATTATTTATTTTAGACACAGTTCATTGGATACGCAAATATGAAATAAAGTTTTTAATTCAGTTGCAAATTCATAAAAAAACCTTTTTTACTGTGAATGGAATTCATTATTTA